TTGTGAAGACTTTGCCTTCTTAAAATTAAGGGTTCAAGTTTCCTACCCCCTCTCCTTCCCCCCTCCCCTCTCCCCCCTAAAAAAAAAAATAAAAAAAAATGACTTCCATGCTATCAGGAGCGTTTCTGTAAACTCCTCTAATCTTTCTTCAGTGAGCATAAGCCCTTGGATAGTGTGACCCCTGAATCCACTCTTGTCTGAAAACATGTTATCAGGAGGACCATTAGTTTATTTGCAACAAAACCAAGCTAACTAGCAACCCTAAAACCATAAAATCACTCTCCTCTTGCGGGGGAGTAAACAATTGAATGATTGTTGAGCCTGCAACAAACATACCACTGTTAGTACAAAAAAATCTATGTATAGAACACCATAATCACCACAAACTAAATTTAGTCTTAGATATTTCTTAGTCCAAAGAGTTCACTTCATCAATTACGTTTTTGCGTGACAAAGAAGTTAATTTGATGCCAACTCAAACATTTCTTGTGAATTGCTTCCCTCTTCTTGTTGCTCGAGCTTTAACAAGAAGAAAATACATTGAATGTAAAATTGAAGAAAATAAATATTTCATTGATCACTTGCTTTTCTTCCTATGTTGCTTGACAAAAAATTGGGTTTGAGGAGATGATGGGTACTATTGAATAGGTTTTTGGAGAGAAAACAATTGGTGAGCATTTTGGGATTACAGAGAAAAAAAAAAAAGAAATGGGGGGGGGGGGGGCAACATTAAAAAAGCCTCCATCGAAGGGGCCGAAGTTGAAACCTCGTGAGCTGGACCCAAACCCTCCGCAATTGGCTCCATAGGAAGGAACTCAAAGCTTTCTACTAAGGACAGGAAAAATTGGTCATCCTCGATCAGCATATCAGCAATTGTGGGGACCTCCTCCCCACCTAGGGGAGAGGATGCCCCCTCTTTAGAATGCCTACTAGAAGAAGTTGCAGAGACTTCATCGGCACCCTCACCAACCTCCTCCCCAAACTCGAAATTGGAAGAAGAATCAGAAACCACCCTCTCCATTATCGGCCCAAATTGCATATCAGAATATAAAGGGGGTAGATGCAAAACACAATTAGTCACGAACAAGGGAGCCAAACACCAAACTCTGAGTAAGGACTGTTGGAACGAAAATTCCAAGAGCCGTTGACAGATGTATGTATCGAATATCAAAAAAAAAAAATTTAATACCCTATAAGGCAAAATTAGGGTTTACCTTCGAGATCTCTCGGGATTGATCTTGTCTCAGCACGAACGGAGAACAAAATCAACAAACAACCGAAGGACAGCTTGACGAACATCGTGGCCTTTTATTGTATTTCCCAAATGTTAGAATCTGAATGTAGTATCCAGCATGGGAGATTTAATTATTCGATATGACAAATAAGCTGAGTGGTAAGGTCTCAAGGAATAAAAAAATTAATTAAATATAATTGTCAGTAATTTATTTAATTGATGAACATCTGTAATATTAAATATGGAGAGATTATTAAACATATAATAATAAGGAGCTCGAATATAAATTTGAGATAAGATTTAGAAGATTAACAATAAGTTTTTAGTGAATTGACTTATTATTAATGGGTTGTAGGATGTTTGTTCTGGGTTGAAAATAGAATTCATAAGCTTATTAGAAGCCCGATCCTTATTTCTCATTAGGGTCTCTATAGTTGCCTATATATAGATGTCTAGGCTCTCTTATTCAGCATCTATTCTTTACTCACGTTTTTTTAAAGAGGTTGAAAGAAAGAGCAAGGATTCGAAGGTTTTGGCAACCCGCACTGCATCTGAATTCTGACATTTTTGGGATATACGACAAAAGGCCACGAGGTTCATCGAGCTGTCATTCAGTTGAGTGTTGATTATGTTTTGCATTTGTGCTAAGACGAGATCAATCCTGAGGGATGTCGAAGGTAAATCCTAATTCCGTCTTATAGGGTTTTAAAAGAATTTTTTTGATATTTGATACATATGCGTTGTCAATGATTCTTGGGAGTTTCGTTCCAACAAGTACAGATCGGAATGTAAGGGGATAGATGCAAAGCACAATCGTTCAAGAACAGGAGAGCCAAACAAGCTCTGAGTAAAGACAATCTCAACAGGAGAAGATAATCTACGAATTGTGAAAGGGAAGCAAAACTACCGGAGTATTTTGAATAGCTAAACCTCCAAATAATAACGTGAAACCCCTAACCCTACTAGGGAGGGTTAAAGGGATCCAGATCAAAGGAGAAAAAGGAAAAGACTTACCTAAAAAGGAGCTAGAATGGAACCGCAGAAGAGTATGAAACGAATCCCCGAACCACCAAGAACTTAAAACAACTGCCTCAAAACTTGGAAGAAAGAAAAAGAAGCGCGAGGAGATAGGAATTCAAAATGTAAGTGGAAAGGACAAATAAGCTTTTCCCCCTTTTTATACACAACATTTATTACCACGATGGAATGTGGAGGAAGACGTGTAGAAGAAGTCGTGCTAAGGAATCTTCCTCTGGACGACATGTGTTACACCTCAGGCACTTCTGTCCCATCAAAGCTGGCGTTGGTTAACCAAACACGTCCCAAGGGCAGCGCTAGTAATTAATGAAAATCGTCATCCATGAAGGTAGTCGTGACCATGGAAAAGACGTATCTAACCCCATGTTAGAGCAAGAAAGCAACCTCCGAGACTTGGGGTTGGGGAGACACTGATAATGATGGATTTCGGCTTAGGCTGCCCATTAGAAGCCCAAAACACCCGATGGACCCCTTGGCTACATGACAACCTAAGCGGCCCATTCGCAACGGCCCACTCCATCATAAGAGTGGGCCACAACCCAAGGAGGGAAGTCCAATAATGTCCTGACCGGTATATTTCTGCTCTGTTATCTTAAGCTTGGCGAAGTAAACCAGCCCGTGAACGAGGAGCTCGGTAAGCGATAGATCCCAAGCTGCACCTATCATGCCACATGTCCAAGGGACAGCTTCTGGTGCCCCTAACAAAAAAATACTCCCTGGTAAATGGAATATGCGTACATGTACCATTTTGAGGATCGTGGGCACAATATGCGTCAGGATGATAGACACTGCTATAGGACAAAGGAAGAGAGGACCACAGAATCAGCTAAGAAAAGGAAAGAATCGCATAAAACCCTAGATGGCCACATGTATATATAGAAGACGGAAGCACTGTATAAAGGAGTCCTAGAATACCATTCTCAACAATCTATGTAAGAAAAAAGGCTCTCTAATCTATTGTAACCACTGTTTTCGTCTTCATGCAATACTAATCTCAAGAAACAAGAGCCTCCATTATAGTGGACGTAGCCTTACTCTTCGCCTAAGATGAATCACTTCTATTTGTTACCTTGTTAGCCTCAACATTCACGAAGCCCCAGTGGGCCACACATAGTCACTGTTCTGCGATTGGGTACAATAATTTCGAGCACCATCAATAGCCAAAACTCTTCTAGGTCACATCACTATGCTTGCAATGCATGTGACCTCATTAGACAAATGTCCATTTTTAGTCCAAGTTTTTTTATTAATTATAATAAAACACACTTGTCACTTAAAGTATGGCTATGGCCCCCTTCATATGACACTTGTCCCTTTTTTTTAGTATCTTCATCTAAATCACATATTATTCATATATTACCCGTTTAATATTGTTGGAACAAAAATCCCTAGAATCGTTGACAACGCGTATCTATCGAATATCAAAAATTTTCCTTTAAAATCCTACAAGGTGGAATTAAAGTTTACCTTCGAGATCTCTTGGGACTGATCTCGTCTCAGCACTAATGCAGAACAGAACAACGATTACGGCTCGACAAATCTCACAACCTTTTATAATATATCCCCCAACATCATAATTCGGATGCAGTGTGGGCTGCCAATACCTCAAAATCCTTGCTCTCTCTTTCAGGCTCCCTAAAAAACTTGAGTAAAGATAAGATACTAAATTAGAAAACATAAACGTCTATATATAGGCTATGACAAAAACCCTAAGGAGAAATAAAGACTGGGCTCCCAATGGGCTTAGGATTCATATGTTCAACCCAGAACAACCATCATATATCTAATTAATAATAAGTCAGTCCACTAAAGACTTATTATTGATCTTCTTGGCCTTATCTCAAAAATATATTCGAACTCCTTATTATTATATACTTAATAATTTTTCTACGTTTAAGATTACAGATGTCCACCAATTAAATAAATCATTCACAATTATATTTAATTGACTTCTTTTATTCCTTGAGAACTTTTCACTCAACTTATTTGTCATGTCGAATAATTAAATCTACTTGCAGGGTTTGACATAGACAAAATTTATGAGCTTCTTCAAGAGAATATCATCAATCCATTTAAATACTAGGACGTAGTTTCTGTAATATTTAATTTCTACCATACAAATAATATCATCTTCCAATTCATCAAATTTATTGACTCAATATGAATCTCATTCTTTGATGAATTAAAGTGACAAAAATTATATGCACATAACAATTAAATATTTAGGGATTACGAGTATAAGCAATCATAATAATCATGAGATATTTATTATCTTATTAAATCAGTAAATGATAATACCTTCAACATGAGTCTGTTCAATATATAAAGTGTACTAGTGCAATAATCTGAGATATCAAACAATCTCTTATAGTCAAGACAAACAATGCCAAAATATTACACTACAATCATACTGATGGCATGTCCAATTTCATCTACGATCATGAACATATACTGATATTATACAAGAATCCGATAATCTGGTCTTTTGTGCTTAAATTGAACTCTACACACCAGATTATCTACAATGTTAAATATAAGACACACATGCATATCATATATAAAATATAATACAAACATTTTTGCCCATATATATTCTCAATAAAAATAGAAAGAACAAACTTTTATTAATTAATAAAACGAGTTTCACTACAAAAAATAAATTTTTAGTATATTATTAAATATATCATTCAAACACTATAATATTTTTATTTTAACATGAAATATGATCTATATTATAGTCATTCGACTTATTTTCATACAAAGAATTCATATTTGAAGTCCATTTATTTATTTAAAATTTTTAAAAGTGTCTCTTAGTTATATAAAATCATAATTGACAACCTAATTAGCATTTTAGTGATTAATTTTTATACAGGTCGTCACAGTTTGTATACATATAGTGTTAAATACATATATAATTATGTATGTGTGTGTGTGTGCATATATAAAAATATACAAACTTAACTTATTATTTTTTTTTTTTTGAAGAGAAATTCGCATAGAATGATTAGAGTGAAGGCTTATCTATTTTTTTGGTAACATTCAATGCCAACTTGAATATCATTTGATAGATCGATGCTCAATATTCAAGTTGAATATATTTTTGTATAAACTATGTGAGATAGAGTATAAAAAGAAACTCTAAAAAAAATTGAGATGAATTTAATAATTAGTGAGACGGGTATACAATAGGGGTGAACTTAGTTATTAGTGGGGTGTATATAAAAAGAGTGAACTTATTAGTTTTATGATTTAGGGTTTAATGAGGGTGGGAATATAGATTTGTGGGGCGGAAATAGCCTCACCCTTTAATGAAAGACAGACCCTATAAAAGTAAGCCTGAGCCAGCTCTCATTATCATCCCTCTTTAACCTACCCCAACACCTATTCTTATTACTGTGTTTGGTGGACATTAATTTTGGGACATGAAATATTAAGATCAATATTGTGAAAATTATACAAATTTAATACTGTGAGAAAAAAAAAAGGTGATAGAACAATGATCACTAGTTCAATAGTTAAAACTAGTCCCAATAATCTTGACACTATGGGTTCGATATCGATACATTGATGAAAATTAATGGTCCGATCAAGTTGTGCAGAGGCAGATCAAAGTTGCCCTTATTTATCGATTATCGATGCCTCACCGAAGACAACAAAAAAGTACAATAGAATCAAAAATGGGTGCTTTAAAAAAAACAAGTGAGCTGATTTAGACCTAAACCTCTTTATCACAGAGGATAATAAGCAAACCACCGATCAACCATGGCTAGAGATTCCCTCGGTTTGTACTCTGGAACCGTGTGGCCCGCTCCCTGTACAAGGAATGGCAACATAGTTAACTTCAGTTTTCATTAGTGTTGCAAATGAATTGAATCGAACCTAACAAAGCACTAGATTAATGTTCAATCTTGACTCGTGATCATGACAAACTTAGATCATTTGTTTAAGCTTGATATTTAATAGTTTCAAAGCTCAATCTCGACTTGACTCATTTTCATTAAATGAACCGTACTCGAGTTATTCAAGCTCAAACTTGAATCTAGACTTGTATTCAAGATTAAGCTTGACTCATTTATATATGTATCAATAGATATATTATGTATGCAATATATATGTATAGATGGTACATTACACATAACTAGGTATAAACTACCTCAATTTCTTCCGGTGTCTCTTACAAGATACTAATTAAATATATTCGATAATTTGCCTTATTGAGGTCAAGAGTTCAAGCTCCCTTCCCCCTCCCAAAAAAAAAAAGATAAGTATTAAGAGAGGGATTCATACCTTCATTGTTGCATATGTCAATGAGTAGTCATTGCGGGCATAAGCGATTGTATATCTACATAAAAACAAGTTACCATTTTACTTTTTGAAACTCTAAATTATGACAACTGAAAGCAGCTAAAGATCATTATGGTACAAAGATGTTTAGGAACTTACCCTGCTATTTGGCCATCAACAAACCACGGTTCCCAACCACTTTCAATATTCAAGTTTAGAGAATCTATCCATTTCTCAGTGCTCAGGTGTGGAACCCTCATGTCAAGATCACCACTGTTGGAAGAGAAAAAGTTATGTTGTAATAATAAGTTATATTTTTTGGTTTGCTTGTTTTAAAAATTTGTTAATAATTATTTATGATATACCCTCTCTAACAACTTTAATTTTTAAAACAGTCGGTGCTTAACATGGTATTAGAGGCTAAAGTCTTGAGTTCAAGTCACACCAGGCCGTCGTCCTAAGTCCCAAAATGAAAATCGATCAGAGGATATTCTCACAAGTATAAGATTAGCACCCCTTGTGCCACTAAAATACCTAGTTTTTATAGGAATTTAGTCCTTGGGGACTGAGATTTGTAATTATTACCAATTACATGTACTAGAATGAGATGAAAAGAGATTCACATTTCAGCAGTTGATTCCTAGTACTCAAAATCAACATCAATGCAAACCAAAAACAAAGCAGCCATAGCTAAATCCGAGAGCCTGCTTCGATCTACTCTAACCGCTTAACAATTTTCATCTCTTTTCCCTAGAAGTATTGTAACATCTTGAACCTACATCGTATAGTATTATCCTCTTGGGGCCAAGCTTGTATAATTTTGAAACACGCCGTTGAATGTTCAACGTTACAATGATATATGAACAAAGATGGTTTTAGTATACAATTACCTGAAAATTAAAGCTCGACAATTTTTGTGCGTGAGATTTCGATGATAGCCAACAGTACTAGGGACGTTGAATGTGTAAGCGACGGTTGCACTTACACCAAATGAGTATTCTATACTCGTATTGCATTGAAGCCACTCTGTTTTTATCCCCTGCCAGTCATAATAAATCAAGTGATGAAATTATGAAAAGTGTTATATTCAATGTTTGTGGTTGTAAGGTTAATGTACCTCGCGGATGTTAAGAGCTTTTTGGACATCTCTATCATTAGCCCACTTGGTGGCAAAAATGTAGTTGTAGCCCTACAAAACATAAAAAGAGGGACCTGGTAACGATTGATAGCTTTGTCAACAAAATATAAGCAAATGTATTTGTAAGAATGGGATCCCATATTTAAACGTGGGGTTTCCAGCAAAACACAGCAAGTCACCTTTTACTGAAAATAATTTGAGAAAAAAATATGTTGGAAAAGATCTGCGTATGTAGGAGGAGGGTATTACCCGACACCATGGTCCTGGAACTTGTTGTAGTGGCCCGAGAAGATCCATGGAATTTTCTTCAGCAGAGTTTCTATCCCATCTCAGCAAGTTAGATTTTACGTTCATTGTAGAACACAACGGTTCCAAAATTTGTGGCAAATTTATTTTGTCGAGGCACTGTAATAAAGCAAATGCTTGATATTGTTAATGCCTAAAATAAATTGAATAGGGCAACATGTGTTATCAAAGCAAAGGTAGGAATTCTGCTCACCTTGTCTACTAATTGTAGATTGCTTGAACATAATCCATTGCTTGGATCCACATCTATGTATTCGCCCTTGCAATTTGCCTTGGTTGACTAAAACATTCATAGAATACTATATATTTCAGAATCACACATTTGAACAAAAAGTCTACTTGAGGCTAATTGTAACAAAGAATGATGTAATACTATATTCGTAAATATATAACTTCTACAAATATAATAAACGCGTTAAGCGACTTCTGAAATAACTTGTCACATGTGATGACTTGATCAATGTAAATTTGAATCGTTACTCCCCATCATAGTAAAAAGGGGGGGAAAAAAACAATTGGGTTGTGGTATCTATCATTTAAGGGCACTGGTGTGCATGCATATTCCCAGGGAAGCTCAGAGAACTCCATTAATCTCAAAACTTCGACTCAAAAATGTGAAGTCACCTTGTAGAGATTATCAGAGAGAAGTGCCACGCGATGGGCATATTTGATTCTTGAATTAATGTCTCTATTTTTATCTGTAAGAGGATTGCCAAGCATGTATCCCTGCATATAATACAAAGACTTAAACTCGATACTATGACAGTATACCAAAGCAAGCACACAATAACTAGGTCTTTCGAGAATTTCAATAGGATCCTTACCTTAATATTCATTTGTGGCTCATTTCCAGCCTCATTACCTATACAAAAAAAAAAAAAAAAAAAAAGGAGGAGGGTAAATTAAGTATTGAAAATCTCAAGTTTAAAAGCAAAATCTTGCTCAATAGCTCAGTCATTAAATTTTGGGCTCATCTTCAAAATATGTACTTATGTTCTTTTTGGTCTCTAAAGTTTCAATTGCACCTTCAAATTTTAACCAAGTTTATATTCAATTCTTATATTCAAATGAAATAAATTAAGTTTTTTTCCCGTCAATGCAAGAAGAGTTTTTTCTTAAGTCACATTTCTGTCAAAATGACCCTTTCGCTAGAATAAATTAATGAATTTGGATGTAAGGACTAAATTGAAACTTGATCAAAAATTTAAGTATTCTATATTTGCAATTGAAACTTCAACGACCAAATAAAAACTAAATAAATATTTTTAGGGTAAAAAAATAATATGCTCGTAAAATAGAGGGGCATCCATGACAATAAATACCGTTGTATATCTCCTGAACAATGATTGGAATAACCATGCCAATGTAGGAAACACCACAAATGTATAGTGGATTGTTTAGATACTCGGGGTGATCCACAAGCCACTGCATTGCCATGCAATAAATAAACAAAAAAAACATTTTTATTAGTTTGATTTCGTAAAGTACTCAATATAAGACTTGTATGTGTCAAAATGTTTTTAGATAATACATCACTACACAATCAAATATAATATATAATAATACATCATTTTTGTTAGACTTGCAATCTTTGAATGAATTTCTCTCACCTTTCTTAGAAATTCATATGTCTGTGTTGCTGATATTGTATCGCTACTGATATAAGATTCTGAAGTATTTGCATAAGAGAATCCAGTTCCAACCGGCTGATCTATGTAAATGATGCTGGCAACCTACAAAGTTATAAAAAGTTTTCATTACTCGGTGAATTAGAGTTTGTTAGTCTACAATGTAGGCAGTTCTTCCATAATTTAAAAATCATACTGAGCTACATGATATTTGGACTTGCAGCTATGACGGCAACTCGAGAGGCACATATTTACTGTAACAAAGCTGCGGGGTAAAGTATTAGACCTTTGTCCAGGAATAAGGGTTCAACTCCAATGTTGGTGTCTTTACAATGGACTCTTCATAGTTAAATGTAAATGGCCCTGCAAAGAAAAGAGGAAAAACAAAATAAAGGAATTTCTAATGAGGAATATTAGCCTGCTAACTAGATCATATAAGTTCAATTGAAAATGGATTATATTTTTTGAATAGGTGTAACAAAGCAGGTTTTGCAACCAAAAAAAAAAACCCTATTTGCCTCTTTGTTTTCTTGTTTTCCCAATAATTATCTAAGGCAGCGCTCTCGTTGTTGCCAGGACACCCCAATACAAATGTCCCAAGTAATTTGAAAACTTAATGCATTATTACCGATAGATTGTCAATAGAAGTCATTTAACACTAGTAATCCAAAACCGCATTGCATTAGGTGTATTCAGGGCCGACCCTACCTCATAGTTAATAAAATTTGAGCTTTTGGCCCCATAATTTGAGAAGGTCCTATAATGTTTATTATACAATTAGCTCATATCAAAAAATTTAAATCTATAAACATTTTAAATCTCACTAGAAGGTCCCAAAAAATTAATTCCAATAAAAAAAAAATTAATTTCAATAATTTGGGTGCATGATCCAACCCATAAAATTAGAAATCCAAAAAATCAAAAGTTAAAAAAACTAAAAGTACTAAAAAAAATAATGATATTTGGACCTAAAAATCTGTCTTAATTTATTGACTTAATGATGTGGTTTCATTAAAACCATTAGACCAATACTAAGTTCTAATATTTGATGGAACCCACAATTAATTCAAAGATTATAGTGAATCAGGTCAACAAATTAGGTTAGTAAATTAAATTTCAATAACATTACCCTAAAAAAATCTACTCAAAAGGGAAGTCAAATTAACCCCACACATTTACTCTCTCTCTCTCTCTCTATAGTAAAAAATAAAAACAAAAGTTAAAATATATCTCTATGCAACACTAAGTCACTCTCCCTTTATAACACACACATAAAAAAATTTAAAGTATATTAATTTTAATATTAAAAATAAAAGGCTCATTCAATATTATCGCTTTAGGCCTCAAAATATTTTGGGCCGCCCCTGAGTGTATTCACATTAAATTCATAAACTAGGTCTCATTAACGTTGCTCTTTAATATGTGAGTATATAAATATTAACATATTTCGCTAGTTAGGTCCCTTTGTGCTATCTAATATTCGGTCAATTCTCCCCGCTCCTAGCTTAGCCTATTCAATATCCAATTCAAAAAGAGTTTGAATTTCTACTTTTTCTCTCTCCGTATAAAGTCATTTAGTTCCAGTGCTGGGTACGTAGAGCTCATATTTCTTTCGGATAGCATAAAAGTCATTGATATGGTGAGACTTTTATATTTTTTTTGAGAGAATTGAAGAGAAAGAGTAATAGAGTGGGTCTGAATCTTCATTTCAAATTCCTTGTGGGCCTTTCTTTTGTATTTCTTTATAAATTAGCCGCTCTTGCACAGTAGATCCACGTGATCCACTAAACCCATGGACAACTGTGACCTATTGAAAAGCTCGAGTTTAACTAATGCTTTTTTGTACCATAGTTTCAAAAACAACTATAAAAAGAGATCAGGCTTAAAAAAATATATATCATGTTATGATAAAAGCTCAAAAATTCTACATAGAAAACATAATAAATAAGGTGGGTACGTCTTGAAACTATCACAAATGTTTTCCATGTCTTTCGGTTCCAAAGACACACTTAGTAGGTAGAGTGACTCGCACTTTTATATGGCCCAAAACCTTCAGATCAATATGGTTCTAAACACTCTGATCAACAACATATGTAAAACTCGTTTGATACTTCTACAATAAACTATAGGGGTGTCCCTATTAGTGGACCTTTTCTGTTCGAGTTTTCTCCTCAAATTCCAGGGCTCATGCCCAGGATCCTCGGACTTTGATTTTGACACATGAAACTTGAAAAAAACTTTAAAGTTCCTTCCCCACGTTGCTTTGGATTTCATGGCAGGCAATATAACAGTGTGTGCCCTATGCTTACAGTTCAATTTTTCGATGAGTTTAAGAGTATCAAACATACCGATTTCATAGAAGAAGGCACGAAGAGCAGAACAACCAGGACCGCCGGCGAGCCAAAGTATGAGAGGATCATCTTTTGGACTCCCTTCAGATTCGACAAAGTAGTAGAATAACTGCACATCATTCTTTTCTCCTACACCAACGTAACTTCAACCCCAAATGGTCGTAAATTTGTAATCCTCCATTTACATTTTCATTAAAAAAAGAAATCGCATTCAATGAAAGTGAATCGAACAAAGAAGAAAAGTGTTAGTACCCAGTTTCGAGTTCAAACGGGAGATCACTGGGATAGCCCGGGAGAGTCTTGACGATGGACCGCGACGCTATTATGTCGGAAAGGAGCAACAGAAGAATGAGTCGGAAGAGCATTGGTGGTGCCATGGAGAGAGAGGGTCCTTCTCCAAGACTTCTGGTTTGTGATCGAAATGCACAAAGGTTGTCTTGAAGAAAGTCTCTAGGCTTTGATTCTTGCACTTCTTAAGGTTGAGGTCTCTGGTTTTTAGTTGGGGGATGTGGAGTGGTGGCTCCGGTCACTCCCGCTACCAATCGGAACGAACATGTTGGGTTAAATAGGAAAAAATATTGGATGGTAGTGATGGAATACCAAATAAATTTAATGGGTTCCATTGTTTTACTAAGTACAAATAACTACCTCAATCACGTTAGAATAGTCGAGTTCATTAATCTTATTTATTGTTTTATAATTTGTAACAATGATGGCGTGATATTTTCATTACGCCTAATCTTCACTTGTTAAATAAAGTCCGAGAAAATTGAAAACGCAATTCTTATGTGCCGTTGAAAAGTATAAAATGCTATAACTAGGTTGTATCCAAATATGAGTTGATGGGACTTTTCTGAAATACTCTATAATGAAGACACGTGTCTTCGGTATTACCAAAACACTGTTGCTAAGATCAAGCACCATCGGCGCATAAAGGTCATCGCCCCCGAGGTACCCTCATATAGGATCATGCATTCAGTATGTTTTACAAACGACACGTGGCCTCGGTCTGATATGGTACCCTCGGTCGGCATACCTCCCTCGGTTCCAAGATGAGCCTTTCCTCGGTGCCGATATGTACCCTGTCCTGGACGCCTCCTCTACTCCAGGATAAGCTATTGAATACAGGTCATTAGCCTAGGCTATTCATCATGACCTCGTCTTACACAATTAGTGTCAGAACGTACAGGAGTGCAGGGGCCACAGCCAATGAGGGATAGACGCGTGGCATATGATATCACATCGAAGACAGAGAAACCGCATGCCGTTGCTGACACGCGACTTGGGAAAGCAAACTATTAATTACATCATTCCTTTGATGAGATCGCATTCAATGCGGTAAGGCTTGGAAATGAAAGGCAATAAATGCTCCTAATACAGAGCATTTATTGCATCCTCCCCGAGAGGAGTACATTGTACCGTCGGCATCCCGATGGCACAGCATTGATTGCTCGGGACCCCGAGCAGTTAAGAAGAGAAGACATTCCTCATCAGAATCAGTGCACACACTACCTGTACCTAATAATCATCTACTGACCACATTGACAGCAATCATGAGCTTTTGAGGTATAAATACTCTTTACAAAAGGCAAGACGGGTATGCAACAATAAACTCTTTACTACAATACACACTCAGTGTTTTCTCTTTCCTCTCTCTTTCTCAAAGACTGACTAGATCGTCGGAGGGGGTACACCAGAAAACACTCCGGCGCCCTTCTAACTTGTTCTTCTTTGTTCCAAGAACCTCTTTCAGCCTTACTGGATCGTTCTTCCGTTCCCAGGGTCTCCCATTGCCGTTCCAGGTTACCATCGGACCTCGCAGACTGTTCCAAGCAGCGTGTTTGGTCACTCAACCGGCTCACTCGAGTTCACCAAAGGAGAGATCTGTTCTCGTTTTTTATATTGTGCAGGATCTTGCACGCACATGAGTGTAAAGGCAATTCAATATATTCTTAATTCTAACTATTTGATGTGGGGTACGTGAGTCTTATTTTCATTGTTCTCTATTAATGGTCATATATTTCTGTTAGACCGTGAGTTACCATATTTTCTTATACTATTTTGTTCTAAATTATTTTAAACATAACTCTACCTCTACTTCTCCTAATGCCATCAATATGTATTATAAGTAAACGCCTAAATAAGTCGTGAAACACTACAGTATCATCATTCACTTTTCAGTATCATACTAAAAATTAAAGAAAAGTTTAAAAGAGTGTCATTTCTATCTTAAAAGTGATAAACTTTACCTAAAAAATGGTAAATAAACTCGAAAAGTGCATACCCTGTTCAAATAAATTTCATCTAAAAAGTGATATAAATACTCTTAAAAGCAATAAATAATACAATACCAAGTTATACTAGAATTCTTGTTGAATGTTAGGTGAATTACGATACCAATTCATACTAGAATCTTGTTGAATGGTTGGTGAAATACTTGTTCAGCGAGGGTCATACACTCTCAATGTTGTATGCTGAAAATTTTAAAATCTTTTAATTTATTCCCTTAAAGATGAATTCTTTTATATTACATTCCTAATGTATTAAAATTGTTATAATGTAAATATTTTCTTAGCTTCTATTGCTCATCCCGAAACTAACAGAAAGTCTATGTTACAATTTTTTTAATATATTAGAGGTACAATATGAAATATTTAACTTTTAATGATTAATTCGTATTTTAGATGAGATATCAAAAACTCACTTTTTTGACTGAAAAAATAAAGTAGCCTGTTATGAAACGGGGATGGAACTGAGTCGATAACGTCGTGGTTTGAAAATGTGACTGTTCCCTTTGGTATACCTACCCCTAAGATTTATTACAAGGTTTGAGATTGGTCAGTGTTAGTCCCCAATTAAAATACGAGTAATATTATTATGATACTAAATGGGTTTAATAATATTATTATGCCTGTAACTTTTATTGGTGGCAATGGAATACTAAATGGGTTGTTAATTACACTTTGTGGTTGAAATAATGGCCTTCATCTTCCTTTATGGATTGAATTGTTCACGTTACCCTAGTTATTTAAATAACAATCAAACAAAAAAAAGTTAGTTTAATGTTGCTGTACAGTATGTGTGTCTCCACCAACCAGCCAGCCAGCCAGCCATGTGATTGATTAGACCCACTAACACTGTCAGGAATGCATAATCAACAACTAATCTTTTGTCTTCGAACTTAACTAATGTTGCTTTATTGAATAAAAAAAACTCGTTAATGTACCTTCAAAATTTATTATTTTTGTGCGAGTTTTTAACACTATTGTGTTATTATTTTTATTATTTTTCTTCGATACAAAAAAAATTATAATTTTTATGAATGATTTATTATTTTTGTAGATATTTTTACCATTATTATAATAGTTAACAATAGTGATAAAAATATTTATAAAATTAATAAATGTCAATATAATACCCATTTTTTAATACAGTAATAATTGTCCTGTTGGGCAATGACTACTCACACTACTACACCTACTTACAAACTAGTGAATGCTATTTTCCTCGAATTTTCTCATATTAAAAAAAAAGGGATTAATGTACAATTACATATATCTAATAGTATAGTCGAAAAGTTATTTTTTTCACAAATAAAAGGATATTAACTGTCAAAATTAATTCAAATTTTTTTTTTGATATAATAATACAAAATTTATCTTAATTGTTTTTCAACTCAAAACATTTTTTGTATGCATGACTACTAATGCACACAACTTAATTAACACACTCTCTAATATCAAACAACCCCACTAATTTACACTACCTCTCTTTTCTCTTTCTTCCTCTCCTGCATTTTCTTTATTTTTTCTTTGTTCAATATAATTTTAAATTACATAATAAAAAAATAAATTAATATTTAAAATATAAATATTACACAATCAATATTTAATTTGTTGTACTACAAAATGTCTACCGGCACAAAGTTATCGCTAATATACTTTTAACACTCAATTTTTCTGTCAGAGAGGTAGTGTTTCACTTAGTTTATTTAAAAAGAAATTAGTGGTTACTTAGTAATCAAATAAGGAATGAAATTGTAATCGCGTTGACAAGTCAATGAAAAAATTAAACCCCTGGGCAGTTTTGGCCTGCAAAATGGAAGATCGGATAGACTTAAAACTGATAATCGAGTTGAGTTTTACGAGATTGAGTGGAGTGCGTCGGGTTCATTTTTTTAAATAAACTTAAAAAATTATTCAAGTTTGATTTGTTTAGAAAATAAGTCGAGCTAAACATCAAAACGATTTAAGTTTTGCGAGTTTGAACCGATTATTTTAGGCTCATTTTCTAAATAAATATAAAAATTGTTCAAACTCGAGTCGAATCCTATATGAACTAAATTCAAACAGAACTTGAGTAACTTGATTCAATTATCAACTCAAAATTGGCCCAATCTTATTCGACCCAATCCCTTGACAAGTCATGTACAATCGATTAGTGTTGGCGAAGGCGATTGCGACACTTTCTCCGACATTAAAAGCTTTGAAAGTGTAGAATTCCAAAGAAGATCTATCGTACACGTCTGTTTTAGTTTTGGGCTTATCAAGTTTTTAACTTGATCCATGACACCTTGTCAAATACGTAGGATGACTTTCTTGTGTGTTTTGGGCTTATCTAGTTTTCTTGATTAATCTATAATAGGGGTGGCAAGTTTTTTATCTACAATCGGTCAACTCACCAGCAAGCAGCAGTCGGGCGAGCCAGGATTTTGTGTTAGTGGGAGCAACTTAATTTTTTAAATTTTAAAATATAATTATAACATTATTTTCATTTAAATATGTATTCTTGATAAACTGTTTATTTAGATGCGCAATAAATATGTATTCATAATTACATCAAATGAATGTCATTTAGATTCGCAATTCATCTATATGAGTGATGTACAAAAAAATTCAACAAAAAAATTCCACATCAAGAGTATCCTTTATTGTTCGAAATCCTACATAAAAGGAGCTCTCAACTCTCAAACATCCAATAAATTTTTATAATTGTTTTCAACGAGTTTTCGTATTTTGAAACCGTTGCATAATCATTTTATTTTGAATAACACTTGAAACATCTTTTCTCAATATATGCAACCAAGTAATCATTTATTCATTGATTACTCATTCGATTGCACAATTGATTCTTTACTATGTCCATTGCTGAAAATACTCTTTCAACGCTTGAAGTGGCAACTGGTAAGATAAGTGTTAATTTGATGAGTAAATATACCAACGAATATACTATATTCTTTTAGTCTAATTAGATTTATGTTTAAGAGCTCATTATTATGTTCGTAACAATTGAGATAATGGACTACACATAATTAAAATATAATTCATAAATCCAAAATATAATTCAAACTAGAATTTCAAGAAATCAATTAAAGCAACTTAATCATAAGGAAGAAAAATAGCACTAACCAAGAATTTCAGATAGTCAATCCAAACATGGGATTCAACAAAAATCTAAAGTAGTTGAGTGATGACCCAAGACAAAACAAAAAAAACCTACATAAGTCCATAAATAATACACCAAACAATCATCAATTCTACAAGAGTTCAACTAATTTTCTAATATAAAAAATTTGATTTTAGATTAGTGCTAATACTACTATAAAAAAATTTGGTTAATGAATTACCTCTCCTTAACTTCAACATAATCTTCTAGAGTTTTTTTCAAATTTGATTTGTACAATGATTGAATCCAATAGACTGATTTGTTGATAAATACACTAAATGAACTAATAAAGAAACTAAATAAAAGAAAGAAGAGGGGTTGGACGCCTGGACTGAATTGAAAGTCTGGACGAAGAAGACAAAGGCTTACGAGGAAAAAAAAACAGTCTTGAAAATGAGCTGCCAAAAGTTAGCTTTTAAGGGTTAAAAATTATATTAATATACTCTATAACTTAAGAAAATTTCAGTGGGGCAAGTTTAAGAAATTCTTGAAATTTTTAAAATTACACTTAGGTTCCAAAATTTTTAAAATTTTCAGTGGGNGTGTACATCAAATTCATATATGAATCATATTTATCCCCATGTTTGATAAATAATATATGCATACGTGGGACCTACAAATTTATCACAATTATCAACATATATTTGTTTTGTAAATGATTATGTTATTCATTGGTTAATTTAATTCATACTCGTGTTTATTTAATTATAAAGAAAAATAATTGGGAGGTTGGGATATGATTGAATAGATATCATATTTTATTAGGGATAGAAAGGTAATTTGACATAATTAACCTAGGATAGGATATATGAAACCCACCATTTCTTGGGTTTGTCCAACCCCATATATGTAGGTTTAATACACCGGATCACTTACGGGTCAAAATATGAATCTCAAATTTAAAAATATTAATCAAATACGANGGAGAAGTTGTCAAAAGTTAGCTTCTAAAGGTTAAAAATTATATTAATATACTTTATACTTCAAGAAAATTTTAGTGGAGGCAAGTTTAAGAAATTCTTGAAATTTTAAAAATTACACCTAGGTTCTAAAATTTTTTAAAATTTCAGTGAGAGCAACTGTTAACTGTGAAAAATGAGGATGAGCTATCAAAAGTTAGCTTTTAAGATTTGAAAATTATATTAATATATCCTATACTATAAGAAAATTTTAGTGGGAGCAAATTTAAGAAATTCTTGAAATTTTTAAAATTACACCTAGGTGTCAAAACTTTATAAAATTTCAATGGAGGTAGCTGCCCCCATACCAAATCCACCACTGAGTAGCAGGTTGGGTACACATTATTTTTGCGGATTGTATATGAGTTAGATAATATCAATTAAATTAACTAAATCATTTAAAGCGAGTTGAATATGAGTATTTGACTGCTTGAATTTTAATAATTATCAACTCAATATACATATGCTCTTCGAAGAACACCGCCATAGCTATTGCAGCTGCCTTTGTCAATGGCATGCAATCGAGCTACCATGAAGAAGAACAGGATAGACAAAGAGACAGACTTTTTAGTTTTTAACGATAATCCGGCACAACACTGGTACCAACAATGCTCAAATGTTCGAACATTAGTGGGTAAAGAAAAAGGGAGTTAAGGAGTTGAATCTTTTTTTCTTTCTTTCTTTGGTTGTTTGAGTTCGAGGAAGCAAGGCCCTAGATTATGATAGTTTTGAACCAAGTCATGGTTGGTACAAGAAGGAAAAGAAATGAGTTTTTTGTCTAATCACAAGCAATTTTGTTTCTTTTACCATCTTGTTCGAAATATCAATTCGATACAAAATTAGTGTGTGCGTATATAAAAAAAAAAAAAAAGTATTGTGATTTGAATGATAAAGCAAACCTACTAAGCCAAACAGGTGCACGGGGAGACGTGTCGGGTGGAAACGTGATAGAATAACGAATGATATATAATCATCTAATTGTTTGGTATCGAACAATGATATAAGACAAAGAAAATTAAGAAAAATCAACAATGGCGACGTGTACGTAACTGCCTTTGTTTGTATTTTAGGTTTTTCAAATTAGATCCACCTGGCATTTTTTTATTTTATTTTTATTAGGACCCACGTGACAGTTCCCCAAAAAAACCAAAGTTAGATCCACATGCACATCCCAAATTGCCGAACTAGCTTTTGTCGTGATTGAAACTACTACAGTGCTTGAATAAAAATTGACCCGAAAATTAAAGTGAACTCTCTTTTAAGTTCATAACAGCCACCCTCAAGTGAGAATTTTAATAATACGTATACAAAATTTAAAATATTTAAATTACAAGATTGAGATTATATTTGTATGAGTTATGATATTTAATCTTCGGATTTTTTTCACAGAAGGACAATATCTCCCTCTTCTCTCCAAGTAATAGATGGTTTTTATCGTCCTAACCACATCAACTAAAAAGATGTACATCAGTCCATCAAAATAGATCACTTAATAATATTAAAATAATTTCATTAGACCGTAAATTTAACCAGTTTTTCACATATTCAAAATTAACTATCAATTAAGAAAAACACAATACCAAAAAATTCTAATGGTTTAGTAATTGGATTCGTAAATATCTTTGGGAAAATATATTAAAAAGTGAATTTCAATATCTTATCTAAAATACTTATTAATCGTTGATTTTTTTTTAATTTTTTTTTTTGAGGGGGAGGGGGAAAGGGGGTTGAACTCTTGACCTTAAGAAGACAAAATTTTCATAAGGTAAGGAGTACTATTAGACCAAAGACTTATTAATATTAATTGTTGATTTGGTATTGATTTGTTTGCAGCATTCAACTACCAAAAAATAATAAGAATAATTTAAGACACATTACACTTTATTTTTTAGTATCATAGTTGAACCCAAATATTATATATATATATAAAAGAAACAAAGGAAGGCCCATGTTTATAGTCAAATCTCGAAAAATTAACAGATAATCAACATTACTTGTGTTTAAAGAAAAATCAATTACTTCTAACTCGAATATGTGATATATAGAATTTGTATAGGTGAAAGATTTGTCAACGTTACAAGCGTTATCTTTTTTTTTTTTTTTTTGTGGTCAGGGTTACAAGTGTTATCTAAGAATGCAAAATTTGCCCTACGCCTGAGCATGACTGAATTTGTTTTTTATTTTTATTTTTCTATGTCTAACTTGCCCACGTAGAGCAAGTACGTACTCACCAAGGTGTATTTTACCTACCCTGCAGAGAGAATTCTACTCCTCAAGAAGCCTTCATCGAGTGGGACATAAAATATAAATAGATATGATAGTTTACAATTAAAGAAAAATAGGATCCTTTTTTAAATTAAAAAAAAATTATATAATTGACCTCAAATAGTTGTAGTTGAGACTATATTGAGTTGTCTTATAATTTGGGGGTACTTGGGATCGACTCTAACAACATTGAGATTGATTCTGAGTGATCCAAAATTCATAAAAACCATTCTAAAAGTTATAAATGATTTTTAAAATCTAAAAATGAAGCCCAAAAATTATCATCAATGCTACACACACCAATTTTTCTACATCATCTTTGTGCACCACCTCAACATACACTATTAAATTAGTAAGTTTTACAAAATTTATTAAATATCCAATAATTCTGATTGTGTCACATCAGGTGGTGTAAGAGAGGTGATGTCCACAACATTATTCAAAAACTATTAATAACTCCCAAAATTAATAAACAAAATCACAAAACTTGTAATTGGTGGTTCTATCATAGTCATCTCTTTCAATGAGAAATTCTAGTAATGAGAAGCTATCACAGTGAAAACACAAAGGCGCCTGCCTTTTTTAGGCCCTTACTACACAACCCTTCATACATATATTTGGTGACAAAAATGAGAGGTGAAAATATAAATAGAGTTAAATCTAAAATAATTTTGAACAAAATAATATAAAAAAAAGAGCAATGTTATATGGACTTAAAAAATAGACTTAAAAACTAGACTTGATAATTTTAACCATTGATTTTACTGTGGGTCCCAGTATTTATTGAAACCTACTATCTATTCAATGATTGAAATTATCAAATTTAATTTTTAAGTTTATATAGTATTACTCTAAAAAAAGATATGTAGTTCTAAGATCTAATAATGACTATAACCCAGAGTACAAGGGACTAATACGACTCGTGTAGCTGAGCTTTTTAAATTGGTTTAGGTTGTATCTCTTTCTCTTACCTAATCCATACGACCGAGTTTGCGTCGACTTGATTTGACCCTAGAACCAACCGGGTTCGTACTGATCCACGCAACCACTCCACTTCTACAAAACCTCCACCTTAAGAAGTGCAAGAAATGAAAGCCTAGAGACATTCTTCAAGACAACCTTTGTTCATTTCGATCACAAACCAACATTCTTGGAGAAACTCCTCCCATGGCTCCCCCAATACTCTACCGCGTCATTCTTCTGTTGCTCCTTTCCGACATAATCGCGTCACGGTCCATCGTCAAGACTCTCCCTGGCTATCCCACTGATCTCCCATTTGAACTCGAAACTGGGTAACACTTTTCTTCTTTGTTCGATTTACTTTCATTACATGCGATTTCTTTTTTAGTGAAAAAAGTAAGAGGCAGAATTACGAATTTACGACAATTTGGGGGTGAAGTTATGTTGGTGTAGGAGAAAAGGATGACGTGCAGTTATTCTACTACTTTGTCGAATCTGAAAGGAGTCCAAAAGATGATCCTCTTATACTTTGGCTAGCCGGCGGTCCTGGTTGTTCTGCTCTTCGTGCCTTCTTCTATGAAATCGGTACGTTTGATATTCTTAAACTCATCAAAAAGAAATGAACTGTAAGCATAGGGCACACACTGTTATATTGTCTGCCATGAAATCCACGTTGCAGGACACACACTGTTATATTGTCTGCCAGGAAATCCAAAGCAACGTGGGGAAGGAACTTTAATTTTTTTTTTTTCAGGTTTCATGTGTCAAAATAAGCCCTGGAGTTTGAAGATAAAACTCGAATAGAAAAAGGTCCAATAGAAGTGACACTCCAAGGGATGGGACGGTTTTGTTGTGAGGGATTGACTAGTTTTGACAAACTCTTTCAAATCAAATTCTGTGTACATCAAATTCATATATGAATCATATTTATCCCCATGTTTGATAAATAATATACGCATTCGTAGGACCTACAGATTTATCACAATTATCAACATATATTTGTTTTGTAAATGATTATGTTATTTATTGGTTAATTTAATTCATACTCATGTTTATTTAATTATAAAAAAAAATAATTGGGAGGTTGGGATATGATTGAATAGATATCATATTTTATTAGGGATAGAAAAGTAATTTGACATAATTAACCTAGGATAGGATATATGAAACCCACCATTTCTTGGGTTTGTCCAACCCCATATATGTGGGTTTAATACACCGGATCACTTACGGGTCAAAATANCGGTAAATAGTATCAAATTTGAATCTCTGTATTACATGCAGGGATACATGCTTGGCAATCCTCTAACAGATAAAAATAGAGATGTTAATTCAAGAATCAAATATGCCCATCGCGTGGCACTTCTTTCTAATGATCTCTACAAGGTGACTTCACATGTTTGAGTCGTAAGTTTTGAAATTAATGGAGTTCCTGACAAGGTGACTTTTNCCCCCCCCCCCCCCTCTTTCCAAAACCGATAAACAAACAAGCTCCATAGTTTTTGATCTTATCTATGATTGTTTTATTTTATTTACAAATTATGGTATAAAAAAGTGTGACTTAAACCGAAGCTTTTCACTAGACAAAGATAAATTCAAAACACACTTTCAATACAGGAAAAAAAAAAACTTTAAAACTGTGTGAACCCACTCTTTCATAGAAACTACCATAATTTAGTAAACAAGTTGTAAATAATCGCACTTTGGTAAAGAAAGTTCAAAAACTACGACAAGTAGGATCATTAAGTCTATAATGATCGAATACCAAATCTGCTAGTATCACATCATCTCTTGTTAAATAATCCATTTTATCCCCCAAAAGTGTTGAAAAGATAAGAAATGTAAACATCATTTGCCCAAAGTTAGGACGTGGAGCAATAAAATACACCCAGAAAAGATAGGCACAAGCGACACTTAATGTGAGATAATTATTGGCACCCAACGTCGAATCTGAGATTCTTAATAGATGCGTATAAAAAAGAATCTCTAATAGATCCGTGTAAAAAAAAACCTCTAATAAATGCGTGAAAAAAAAAAACCTCTAATGCCTTATGATTTTTAGATTATTAGAGTATCATGTGAGATTATTATTGGCAAACACGAAAACAAATAGTCAAATTGGGTAAATTTTTTTTTTTTTTTAACCTCCTTTGTTAAGCTATTCAAAAATATAGTCGATTTTCAATCAAACTTATATGATCTAGCAAGCAGGCTAATCTTCCTCCTTAGAAATTGCTTGATTTTTTTTTTTTTTCCTTTTCTTTGCAGGGCCATTTACATTTAACTATGAAGAGTCCACTGGAAATAAAACAACATTGGAGTTGAACCCATATTCCTGGACAAAGGTCTAATATTTTACCCTGCATCTTTGTTACAGCAAATAGCCGATCCCAAATAATTGGGACATAAGGCTTATTTTGATTTGGTTTGATTTATCTTTGTTACAGCAAATATGTGCCAAGTCCAAAAGAGCATGTACTTATTTAAATACATATAGTGTATGCGAAAATTCTGTAATTCACTAAGTAATTGTGAAAATTTGTTATAACTTTGAAGGTTGCCAGTATCATTTACATAGATCAACCGGTTGGAACAGGATTCTCTTATGCAAATACTTCGGAATCTTATATTAGCAGCGACACAATATCAGCAACACAAACGTATGAATTTCTTAGAAAGGTGAGAGGAATTCATCCAACGATTGCAAGTGCTGTCATATTCAATTATTTCCATGAATATTGAGGATTTTACGAAATAGAACTAATAAAAATGTTTTTGTTTATTATTTGCATGGCAACGCAGTGGCTTGTGGATCACCCCAAGTATCTAAACAATCCACTATACATTTGTGGTGTTTCCTACATTGGCATGGTTATTCCAATCATTGTTCAGGAGATATACAACGGTATTTATTGTCATGGACACCCCTTTATTTTACGACAAAATTATATTTTCACCCTAAAAATATTTCACTAGTTTTTATTTGATCCTTGAACCAATTGCAGCATAAAATCTTTAAATTTTTGACCGAATTTCAATTTAGTCCTTACATCCAAATTCATTAATTTAATCTAGCAAAAAAACTTTTCTCAAATTGCCGAGAAAAAAGCTTACTTTACTTCGTTTGAATATAAGAATTGAATGTAAACTTGGTTAAAATTTGAAGGATTTAATTAGTGTAATTGAAACTTTAGGGACCATATAGAAAATATGTGCATACTTTGAAGATACGCCCAAAAATTAATGTCTGTGTCTTTTGAGCAAGATTTTGTTTTTAAATTTGAGATTTTCAATTCTTAGTTTTTCCTCCTCTTCTTTCTTTTTTTCTTGAATAGGGAATGAAGCCGGGAATAAGCCACAAATGAATATTAAGGTAAGGATCCTATTGAAATTCTTGGAAGACTTTAGTTATATGTGCTTGTTTTGGTATACGGTAATAGTATCGAGTTTGAGTCTCTGAATTACATGCAGGGATACATGCTTGGCAATCCTCTAACAGATAAAAATAGAGATGTTAATTCAAGAATCAAATATGCCCATCACGTGGCACTTCTTTCTGATGATCTCTACAAGGTGACTTCATATGTTTGAGTCGTAAGTTTTGAAATTAATGGAGTTCCTGACAAGGTGACTTCTTTTTTAAGTGTGCAATGATTGGGAGTAACGATTCAAATCTGCATTGACCAAGTCATCACATGTGACAAGTTATTTCAAAAAACGCTTAGCACGCTTATTATATTTGTAGAAATTAATTACAATTGTAGTATTACATCATTTGCTATTATAATTAACCTCAAGTAAGCTTTTTGTTCAAAGATAAGATTCTGAAATATGTAGTATTCTATGAATTTTTCAGTCAACCAAGGCAAATTGCAATGGCGAATACATAGATGTGGACCCAAACAATGGATTATGTTCAAGCAATATGCAATTAGTAAACAAGGTGAGCAGAATTCCTACCTTTGCTTTGATAACACAAGTTGCCCTATTCAATTTATTTTAGGCATTAAAAATATCTACCATTTGCTTTACAGTGCCTCGAGAAAATAAATTTGCCACAAATTTTGGAACCGTTGTGTTCTACAGTGAATGTAAAATCTAATTTGCTAAGATGGGACAGAAGCTCTGTTGAAGAAAATTCCATGGATCTCCTCTGGCCACTACATCAAGCTACAGGACCATGGTGTCGTGTAATCCCCTCCTCTTATCTTTTCCAATATATTTTTTCTCAAATTATTTTCGGTAAATGTCACCAGCCGTGTTTTAGTGGAAAACCCACTTTTAAATAGGAAATTCAATTTAAATTCAATCTCAATGATCGAGCATTAAAAAAATTGACAAAAAGAATATCAAAACCCCGGTCTTACACACACGGGCAAATCTATAGTGGGGACAGTTGCCCCCATTGCAATTTTTAAAACATTTAGGATAAATTTAGAATTTCAAAAAATTTAAGACATAGTCCTCNATTTTTTTTTTTTTTTAACCTCCTTTGTTAAGCTATTCAAAAATATAGTCGATTTTCAATCAAACTTATATGATCTAGCAAGCAGGCTAATCTTCCTCCTTAGAAATTGCTTGATTTTTTTTTTTTTCTTTTCTTTGCAGGGCCATTTACATTTAACTATGAAGAGTCCACTGGAAATAAAACAACATTGGAGTTGAACCCATATTCCTGGACAAAGGTCTAATATTTTACCCTGCATCTTTGTTACAGCAAATAGCCGATCCCAAATAATTGGGACATAAGGCTTATTTTGATTTGGTTTGATTTATCTTTGTTACAGCAAATATGTGCCAAGTCCAAAAGAGCATGTACTTATTTAAATACATATAGTGTATGCGAAAATTCTGTAATTCACTAAGTAATTGTGAAAATTTGTTATAACTTTGAAGGTTGCCAGTATCATTTACATAGATCAACCGGTTGGAACAGGATTCTCTTATGCAAATACTTCGGAATCTTATATTAGCAGCGACACAATATCAGCAACACAAACGTATGAATTTCTTAGAAAGGTGAGAGGAATTCATCCAACGATTGCAAGTGCTGTCATATTCAATTATTTCCATGAATATTGAGGATTTTACGAAATAGAACTAATAAAAATGTTTTTGTTTATTATTTGCATGGCAACGCAGTGGCTTGTGGATCACCCCAAGTATCTAAACAATCCACTATACATTTGTGGTGTTTCCTACATTGGCATGGTTATTCCAATCATTGTTCAGGAGATATACAACGGTATTTATTGTCATGGACACCCCTTTATTTTACGACAAAATTATATTTTCACCCTAAAAATATTTCACTAGTTTTTATTTGATCCTTGAACCAATTGCAGCATAAAATCTTTAAATTTTTGACCGAATTTCAATTTAGTCCTTACATCCAAATTCATTAATTTAATCTAGCAAAAAAACTTTTCTCAAATTGCCGAGAAAAAAGCTTACTTTACTTCGTTTGAATATAAGAATTGAATGTAAACTTGGTTAAAATTTGAAGGATTTAATTAGTGTAATTGAAACTTTAGGGACCATATAGAAAATATGTGCATACTTTGAAGATACGCCCAAAAATTAATGTCTGTGTCTTTTGAGCAAGATTTTGTTTTTAAATTTGAGATTTTCAATTCTTAGTTTTTCCTCCTCTTCTTTCTTTTTTTCTTGAATAGGGAATGAAGCCGGGAATAAGCCACAAATGAATATTAAGGTAAGGATCCTATTGAAATTCTTGGAAGACTTTAGTTATATGTGCTTGTTTTGGTATACGGTAATAGTATCGAGTTTGAGTCTCTGAATTACATGCAGGGATACATGCTTGGCAATCCTCTAACAGATAAAAATAGAGATGTTAATTCAAGAATCAAATATGCCCATCACGTGGCACTTCTTTCTGATGATCTCTACAAGGTGACTTCATATGTTTGAGTCGTAAGTTTTGAAATTAATGGAGTTCCTGACAAGGTGACTTCTTTTTTAAGTGTGCAATGATTGGGAGTAACGATTCAAATCTGCATTGACCAAGTCATCACATGTGACAAGTTATTTCAAAAAACGCTTAGCACGCTTATTATATTTGTAGAAATTAATTACAATTGTAGTATTACATCATTTGCTATTATAATTAACCTCAAGTAAGCTTTTTGTTCAAAGATAAGATTCTGAAATATGTAGTATTCTATGAATTTTTCAGTCAACCAAGGCAAATTGCAATGGCGAATACATAGATGTGGACCCAAACAATGGATTATGTTCAAGCAATATGCAATTAGTAAACAAGGTGAGCAGAATTCCTACCTTTGCTTTGATAACACAAGTTGCCCTATTCAATTTATTTTAGGCATTAAAAATATCTACCATTTGCTTTACAGTGCCTCGAGAAAATAAATTTGCCACAAATTTTGGAACCGTTGTGTTCTACAGTGAATGTAAAATCTAATTTGCTAAGATGGGACAGAAGCTCTGTTGAAGAAAATTCCATGGATCTCCTCTGGCCACTACATCAAGCTACAGGACCATGGTGTCGTGTAATCCCCTCCTCTTATCTTTTCCAATATATTTTTTCTCAAATTATTTTCGGTAAATGTCACCAGCCGTGTTTTAGTGGAAAACCCACTTTTAAATAGGAAATTCAATTTAAATTCAATCTCAATTATCGAGCATTAAAAAAATTGACAAAAAGAATATCAAAACCCCGGTCTTACACACACGGGCAAATCTATAGTGGGGACAGTTGCCCCCATTGCAATTTTTAAAACATTTAGGATAAATTTAGAATTTCAAAAAATTTAAGACATAGTCCTCAGTGAAATATTATCAAAGTTCATGGGTAAGTTTGTATTTTACAAACAAGTGTGGCATCATCTGTCTTTGTCAGACTTTTAGCAGTGGACCCATATTTCTTTTCATAACATTGGAATTTTCTATAAAAATAATAGAAAAATATGGAGCGATCTTACTTACCAAAAAAACATATGAAGTGAACTTTGGCGGTTCATATGCTTGANAATACTTCGGAATCTTATATTAGCAGCGACACAATATCAGCAACACAAACGTATGAATTTCTTAGAAAGGTGAGAGGAATTCATCCAACGATTGCAAGTGCTGTCATATTCAGTTATTTGCATGAATATTGAGGATTTTACGAAATATNAATTTCTTAGAAAGGTGAGAGGAATTCATCCAACGATTGCAAGTGCTGTCATATTCAATTATTTCCATGAATATTGAGGATTTTACGAAATAGAACTAATAAAAATGTTTTTGTTTATTATTTGCATGGCAACGCAGTGGCTTGTGGATCACCCCAAGTATCTAAACAATCCACTATACATTTGTGGTGTTTCCTACATTGGCATGGTTATTCCAATCATTGTTCAGGAGATATACAACGGTATTTATTGTCATGGACACCCCTTTATTTTACGACAAAATTATATTTTCACCCTAAAAATATTTCACTAGTTTTTATTTGATCCTTGAACCAATTGCAGCATAAAATCTTTAAATTTTTGACCGAATTTCAATTTAGTCCTTACATCCAAATTCATTAATTTAATCTAGCAAAAAAACTTTTCTCAAATTGCCGAGAAAAAAGCTTACTTTACTTCGTTTGAATATAAGAATTGAATGTAAACTTGGTTAAAATTTGAAGGATTTAATTAGTGTAATTGAAACTTTAGGGACCATATAGAAAATATGTGCATACTTTGAAGATACGCCCAAAAATTAATGTCTGTGTCTTTTGAGCAAGATTTTGTTTTTAAATTTGAGATTTTCAATTCTTAGTTTTTCCTCCTCTTCTTTCTTTTTTTCTTGAATAGGGAATGAAGCCGGGAATAAGCCACAAATGAATATTAAGGTAAGGATCCTATTGAAATTCTTGGAAGACTTTAGTTATATGTGCTTGTTTTGGTATACGGTAATAGTATCGAGTTTGAGTCTCTGAATTACATGCAGGGATACATGCTTGGCAATCCTCTAACAGATAAAAATAGAGATGTTAATTCAAGAATCAAATATGCCCATCACGTGGCACTTCTTTCTGATGATCTCTACAAGGTGACTTCATATGTTTGAGTCGTAAGTTTTGAAATTAATGGAGTTCCTGACAAGGTGACTTCTTTTTTAAGTGTGCAATGATTGGGAGTAACGATTCAAATCTGCATTGACCAAGTCATCACATGTGACAAGTTATTTCAAAAAACGCTTAGCACGCTTATTATATTTGTAGAAATTAATTACAATTGTAGTATTACATCATTTGCTATTATAATTAACCTCAAGTAAGCTTTTTGTTCAAAGATAAGATTCTGAAATATGTAGTATTCTATGAATTTTTTAGTCAACCAAGGCAAATTGCAATGGCGAATACATAGATGTGGACCCAAACAATGGATTATGTTCAAGCAATATGCAATTAGTAAACAAGGTGAGCAGAATTCCTACCTTTGCTTTGATAACACAAGTTGCCCTATTCAATTTATTTTAGGCATTAAAAATATCTACCATTTGCTTTACAGTGCCTCGAGAAAATAAATTTGCCACAAATTTTGGAACCGTTGTGTTCTACAGTGAATGTAAAATCTAATTTGCTAAGATGGGACAGAAGCTCTGTTGAAGAAAATTCCATGGATCTCCTCTGGCCACTACATCAAGCTACAGGACCATGGTGTCGTGTAATCCCCTCCTCTTATCTTTTCCAATATATTTTTTCTCAAATTATTTTCGGTAAATGTCACCAGCCGTGTTTTAGTGGAAAACCCACTTTTAAATAGGAAATTCAATTTAAATTCAATCTCAATGATCGAGCATTAAAAAAATTGACAAAAAGAATATCAAAACCCCGGTCTTACACACACGGGCAAATCTATAGTGGGGACAGTTGCCCCCATTGCAATTTTTAAAACATTTAGGATAAATTTAGAATTTCAAAAAATTTAAGACATAGTCCTCAGTGAAATATTATCAAAGTTCATGGGTAAGTTTGTATTTTACAAACAAGTGTGGCATCATCTGTCTTTGTCAGACTTTTAGCAGTGGACCCATATTTCTTTTCATAACATTGGAATTTTCTATAAAAAATAATAGAAAAATATGGAGCGATCTTACTTACCAAAAAAACATATGAAGTGAACTTTGGCGGTTCATATGCTTGACTTTTTAGATTTAACAGTTTTAAATGAAACAAAAATTTAATTAATTATAAAAAAATTTGAATAGACTGTCAGATTAGGAGATATGCTAAANCTTTTCTTTGCAGGGCCATTTACATTTAACTATGAAGAGTCCACTGGAAATAAAACAACATTGGAGTTGAACCCATATTCCTGGACAAAGGTCTAATATTTTACCCTGCATCTTTGTTACAGCAAATAGCCGATCCCAAATAATTGGGACATAAGGCTTATTTTGATTTGGTTTGATTTATCTTTGTTACAGCAAATATGTGCCAAGTCCAAAAGAGCATGTACTTATTTAAATACATATAGTGTATGCGAAAATTCTGTAATTCACTAAGTAATTGTGAAAATTTGTTATAACTTTGAAGGTTGCCAGTATCATTTACATAGATCAACCGGTTGGAACAGGATTCTCTTATGCAAATACTTCGGAATCTTATATTAGCAGCGACACAATATCAGCAACACAAACGTATGAATTTCTTAGAAAGGTGAGAGGAATTCATCCAACGATTGCAAGTGCTGTCATATTCAATTATTTCCATGAATATTGAGGATTTTACGAAATAGAACTAATAAAAATGTTTTTGTTTATTATTTGCATGGCAACGCAGTGGCTTGTGGATCACCCCAAGTATCTAAACAATCCACTATACATTTGTGGTGTTTCCTACATTGGCATGGTTATTCCAATCATTGTTCAGGAGATATACAACGGTATTTATTGTCATGGACACCCCTTTATTTTACGACAAAATTATATTTTCACCCTAAAAATATTTCACTAGTTTTTATTTGATCCTTGAACCAATTGCAGCATAAAATCTTTAAATTTTTGACCGAATTTCAATTTAGTCCTTACATCCAAATTCATTAATTTAATCTAGCAAAAAAACTTTTCTCAAATTGCCGAGAAAAAAGCTTACTTTACTTCGTTTGAATATAAGAATTGAATGTAAACTTGGTTAAAATTTGAAGGATTTAATTAGTGTAATTGAAACTTTAGGGACCATATAGAAAATATGTGCATACTTTGAAGATACGCCCAAAAATTAATGTCTGTGTCTTTTGAGCAAGATTTTGTTTTTAAATTTGAGATTTTCAATTCTTAGTTTTTCCTCCTCTTCTTTCTTTTTTTCTTGAATAGGGAATGAAGCCGGGAATAAGCCACAAATGAATATTAAGGTAAGGATCCTATTGAAATTCTTGGAAGACTTTAGTTATATGTGCTTGTTTTGGTATACGGTAATAGTATCGAGTTTGAGTCTCTGAATTACATGCAGGGATACATGCTTGGCAATCCTCTAACAGATAAAAATAGAGATGTTAATTCAAGAATCAAATATGCCCATCACGTGGCACTTCTTTCTGATGATCTCTACAAGGTGACTTCATATGTTTGAGTCGTAAGTTTTGAAATTAATGGAGTTCCTGACAAGGTGACTTCTTTTTTAAGTGTGCAATGATTGGGAGTAACGATTCAAATCTGCATTGACCAAGTCATCACATGTGACAAGTTATTTCAAAAAACGCTTAGCACGCTTATTATATTTGTAGAAATTAATTACAATTGTAGTATTACATCATTTGCTATTATAATTAACCTCAAGTAAGCTTTTTGTTCAAAGATAAGATTCTGAAATATGTAGTATTCTATGAATTTTTCAGTCAACCAAGGCAAATTGCAATGGCGAATACATAGATGTGGACCCAAACAATGGATTATGTTCAAGCAATATGCAATTAGTAAACAAGGTGAGCAGAATTCCTACCTTTGCTTTGATAACACAAGTTGCCCTATTCAATTTATTTTAGGCATTAAAAATATCTACCATTTGCTTTACAGTGCCTCGAGAAAATAAATTTGCCACAAATTTTGGAACCGTTGTGTTCTACAGTGAATGTAAAATCTAATTTGCTAAGATGGGACAGAAGCTCTGTTGAAGAAAATTCCATGGATCTCCTCTGGCCACTACATCAAGCTACAGGACCATGGTGTCGTGTAATCCCCTCCTCTTATCTTTTCCAATATATTTTTTCTCAAATTATTTTCGGTAAATGTCACCAGCCGTGTTTTAGTGGAAAACCCACTTTTAAATAGGAAATTCAATTTAAATTCAATCTCAATTATCGAGCATTAAAAAAATTGACAAAAAGAATATCAAAACCCCGGTCTTACACACACGGGCAAATCTATAGTGGGGACAGTTGCCCCCATTGCAATTTTTAAAACATTTAGGATAAATTTAGAATTTCAAAAAATTTAAGACATAGTCCTCAGTGAAATATTATCAAAGTTCATGGGTAAGTTTGTATTTTACAAACAAGTGTGGCATCATCTGTCTTTGTCAGACTTTTAGCAGTGGACCCATATTTCTTTTCATAACATTGGAATTTTCTATAAAAAATAATAGAAAAATATGGAGCGATCTTACTTACCAAAAAAACATATGAAGTGAACTTTGGCGGTTCATATGCTTGACTTTTTAGATTTAACAGTTTTAAATGAAACAAAAATTTAATTAATTATAAAAAAATTTGAATAGACTGTCAGATTAGGAGATATGCTAAAACGAGTCAATTTGGATCACATTCAATTTCTTTTTTTCATGGATGACAAAATATTTTTTATTTAGATAAATCTGATAAGCTAATTTTTAGAATTTCACAGTTAATCTTGAATTAAAATAATTGATTATAATATTTAGAATTGATTTCAATTATCTCACAAATTATAATTTGATCCTAAAAAATTGCNGATTAGGAGATATGCTAAAACGAGTCAATTTGGATCACATTCAATTTCTTTTTTTCAGGGATGACAAAATATTTTTTATTTAGATAAATCTGATAAGCTATTTTTTAGAATTTCACAGTTAATCTTGAATTAAAATAATTGATTTTAATATTTAGAATTAATTTCAATTATCTCACAAATTATAATTTGATCCTAAAAAATTGTNTACATTGGCATGGTTATTCCAATCATTGTTCAGGAGATATACAACGGTATTTATTGTCATGGACACCCCTTTATTTTACGACAAAATTATATTTTCACCCTAAAAATATTTCACTAGTTTTTATTTGATCCTTGAACCAATTGCAGCATAAAATCTTTAAATTTTTGACCGAATTTCAATTTAGTCCTTACATCCAAATTCATTAATTTAATCTAGCAAAAAAACTTTTCTCAAATTGCCGAGAAAAAAGCTTACTTTACTTCGTTTGAATATAAGAATTGAATGTAAACTTGGTTAAAATTTGAAGGATTTAATTAGTGTAATTGAAACTTTAGGGACCATATAGAAAATATGTGCATACTTTGAAGATACGCCCAAAAATTAATGTCTGTGTCTTTTGAGCAAGATTTTGTTTTTAAATTTGAGATTTTCAATTCTTAGTTTTTCCTCCTCTTCTTTCTTTTTTTCTTGAATAGGGAATGAAGCCGGGAATAAGCCACAAATGAATATTAAGGTAAGGATCCTATTGAAATTCTTGGAAGACTTTAGTTATATGTGCTTGTTTTGGTATACGGTAATAGTATCGAGTTTGAGTCTCTGAATTACATGCAGGGATACATGCTTGGCAATCCTCTAACAGATAAAAATAGAGATGTTAATTCAAGAATCAAATATGCCCATCACGTGGCACTTCTTTCTGATGATCTCTACAAGGTGACTTCATATGTTTGAGTCGTAAGTTTTGAAATTAATGGAGTTCCTGACAAGGTGACTTCTTTTTTAAGTGTGCAATGATTGGGAGTAACGATTCAAATCTGCATTGACCAAGTCATCACATGTGACAAGTTATTTCAAAAAACGCTTAGCACGCTTATTATATTTGTAGAAATTAATTACAATTGTAGTATTACATCATTTGCTATTATAATTAACCTCAAGTAAGCTTTTTGTTCAAAGATAAGATTCTGAAATATGTAGTATTCTATGAATTTTTCAGTCAACCAAGGCAAATTGCAATGGCGAATACATAGATGTGGACCCAAACAATGGATTATGTTCAAGCAATATGCAATTAGTAAACAAGGTGAGCAGAATTCCTACCTTTGCTTTGATAACACAAGTTGCCCTATTCAATTTATTTTAGGCATTAAAAATATCTACCATTTGCTTTACAGTGCCTCGAGAAAATAAATTTGCCACAAATTTTGGAACCGTTGTGTTCTACAGTGAATGTAAAATCTAATTTGCTAAGATGGGACAGAAGCTCTGTTGAAGAAAATTCCATGGATCTCCTCTGGCCACTACATCAAGCTACAGGACCATGGTGTCGTGTAATCCCCTCCTCTTATCTTTTCCAATATATTTTTTCTCAAATTATTTTCGGTAAATGTCACCAGCCGTGTTTTAGTGGAAAACCCACTTTTAAATAGGAAATTCAATTTAAATTCAATCTCAATGATCGAGCATTAAAAAAATTGACAAAAAGAATATCAAAACCCCGGTCTTACACACACGGGCAAATCTATAGTGGGGACAGTTGCCCCCATTGCAATTTTTAAAACATTTAGGATAAATTTAGAATTTCAAAAAATTTAAGACATAGTCCTCAGTGAAATATTATCAAAGTTCATGGGTAAGTTTGTATTTTACAAACAAGTGTGGCATCATCTGTCTTTGTCAGACTTTTAGCAGTGGACCCATATTTCTTTTCATAACATTGGAATTTTCTATAAAAATAATAGAAAAATATGGAGCGATCTTACTTACCAAAAAAACATATGAAGTGAACTTTGGCGGTTCATATGCTTGACTTTTTAGATTTAACAGTTTTAAATGAAACAAAAATTTAATTAATTATAAAAAAAAATTTGAATAGACTGTCAGATTAGGAGATATGCTAAAACGAGTCAATTTGGATCACATTCAATTTCTTTTTTTCAGGGATGACAAAATATTTTTTATTTAGATAAATCTGATAAGCTATTTTTTAGAATTTCACAGTTAATCTTGAATTAAAATAATTGATTTTAATATTTAGAATTAATTTCAATTATCTCACAAATTATAATTTGATCCTAAAAAATTGTAACTTTAATCCTAAATTTATAACATGACTCATAAAAGTTATAATTTTGTAGAATTTATTTTTTTTATTTTTCTCTTTTTTGTCAAAAAAAGTCAAAAATTTATATACCAACCCACAAGGTTTATAAACTCCACCACCGTAGCCCCTTTGATATTAAAGTTAATTAAGTTGCCCCACAACTGAAAAAGTCTTGGCCCCGCCCCTGNGTAGCCCCTTTGATATTAAAGTTAATTAAGTTGCCCCACAACTGAAAAAGTCTTGGCTCCGCCCCTGATTACACATACATTTGCCTATGTTTTGTTCACAAAGCTATAAATTTAAGATGTTCATCTTTTTTATGTTTTGTAGGGCTTCAACTACGTTTATGCCACCAAGTGGGCTAATGATAAAGATGTCCAAAAAGCTCTTAACATCCGTGAGGTACATTAATCTTACATGCATAAATATTGAATATAACATTTTTCATAGTTTCATCACCTTATTTATTATGACTAGCAGGGGATAAAAGCAGAGTGGATTCAATGCAATGCGAGTATAGAATACTCATTTGGTCAAAGTGCAACCGTCGCTTACACATTCAACGTCCCTAGTACTGTTGGCTATCATCGAAATCTCACACACAAAAATTGTCGAGCTTTAATATTCAGGTAAAAGCATCCTAAAATCAGCTTTTTTCGTGTAACATTGTAACTCTGAGCATTCAACATCATGTTTCAAAGTGATATTGGCCTAGCCAAAAAAAGATAATACTATAAAATGTAGGTTCAAGATGTTAAAATACTTCTATGGGAAGAGATGTAAAATTGTTAAGTGGCTAGAGAAGATCGAAGCAAGGTCTCGGATTTGGATACAGTTGCTTTGTTTTTTTTTTTTTTTTCACATTGATGCCGATTTTGAATACTAGGAATCGATTACTGAAATGCGAATCTCTTTTCATCTCATTCTATGTCTATACATGTAATTGGTAGTACAAATCTCAGTCCTGAAGGACGAAATTCCTATAAAAACTAGGTATTTTAGTGGCACAAGGGGTGCTAATCTCATATTCATGACAATATCCTCTGATCATTTTTCATTTTGAGTTTTTTGNTTTTTTTTTTTTCACATTGATGCCGATTTTGAATACTAGGAATCGATTACTGAAATGCGAATCTCTTTTCATCTCATTCTATGTCTATACATGTAATTGGTAGTACAAATCTCAGTCCTGAAGGACGAAATTCCTATAAAAACTAGGTATTTTAGTGGCACAAGGGGTGCTAATCTCATATTCATGACAATATCCTCTGATCATTTTTCATTTTGAGTAGTTATGGAGATGACCTGGTGTGACTTACAGTCTAGACTTTAGCCTCTGATACTATGTTTAACACCAACTATTTTAAAAATTAAAGTTGTTAGAGAGTGTGTAACATAAGCATTTGTCAAATAATTTTTAAAACAAGCAAACCGAAAAATAGAAGTTACTCTTACAATNATACTATGTTTAACACCAACTATTTTAAAAATTAAAGTTGTTAGAGAGTGTGTAACAAAAGCATTTGTCAAATAATTTTTAAAACAAGCAAACCGAAAAATAGAACTTACTCTTACAACAAAACTTTTTATCTTTCAACAGTGGTGATCTTGACATGAGGGTTCCACACCTGAGCACAGAGAAATGGATAGACTCTCTAAATTTGGATATTGAAAGTGATTGGGAACCATGGTTTGTTGATGGTCAAATAGCGGGGTAAGTTCATAACATCTCTGTAACATAACGATCTTAAGCTGCTTTAAGTTATAATAGTTTAGAGTTTCTTTTCAGAAAGTAAATTTGTAGCTTATTTTTATGCAGATATACAATGTCTTATACCCGCAATGACTACTCATTGACATACGCAACAATGAAGGTATGAATCTCTCTCTTAATTCTTATCTAAACTAATGGATTTTAAAATGAAGAGGGCTCAAAATCGGCTCGTATGAGTGCTGGTTCATGTTTGCTCGTCTATCAAACGAAACGAATTTGAGTTCAATTTTAGAGTACATTTAATCAATATCTTTTCCGAGACACAAGAACAAACTGAGATATTTTATACCAAGTTATGTGTAATGTATCTTTTATACATTTATATTGTGTACATAACATATCTATTGATACATATATAAACAAGCCAAGCTTGAACATTAATCTAGTGCTCAGTTAGATTCGATTCCTTTCATTTGCAAANTCTTTTATACATTTATATTGTGTACATAACATATCTATTGATACATATATAAACAAGTCAAGCTTGAACATTAATCTAGTGCTCAGTTAGATTCGATTCCTTTCATTTGCAAAGATGATGATAATCAACGTTAACTATGTTTGCATATTTTATATAGGGAGCGGGTCACACTGTTCCAGAATACAAACCAAGAGAATCTCTGGCCATGGTTGATCGGTGGTTTGCTTATTACCCTCTGTGATAAAGAAGTTTAGGACTAAATCAGCTTACTCATCTGGTTAATATAAGCACACATTCCTGATTCTATTACATTCTTCTGTTATCTCCGACGAGACATGGCTAAATAAGGGCAATTGTGATCTGCCTCTGCACAACTTGATTGGAACATATATTTTCATCAATGAATCGAACCCGCAATCCAAAGATTATTGGAACGGGTTTTAACTATTGTACTAGTGACAACTATTCTATCACCAATTTTATGTGTAGAATTAGTTCAATTGTTATGTTGAGTAAGCATCTTGGTCGAAAACATGAGCATTGTAGTGAGATTACGCATTATCAGTTCTTTATAGGAGCATGATTTTTGTGAAGAAAATTGGTAAGCATCGATCCCATTTTCTTTCTGTCTCAGACAGTTTCTGAATTACTAATTTTGCTTGGCAAGAAAATAAATATTACAAAATGCTCTGTTTCTATTCACATTTATATTTAATTTTTTCGGTTCCAATGTTAATAGGTTGAACTTTTTGTTATTTATATAAAATATAAGTCCCAATTAGCACGGTCAGTAATCATGATTCTCATCTAGAAGGTCATTCCCACTTTATCATCACCTGGAAATAAAAAAATCACTTAAAAAATCATATCCAACGCATGAGTTGTTCAATTATAACGAGATTGTATCGCCTAGCTGGATTACACTTGCTATCAAGATATGAAATCACTTTTTTTTTTGTTAATAGAAGTGATAGTTTTTTACTCAAACTTGAATATCTAAGATTAGGAGCGGCATTACAAATTCTAGTGCTCGTTTCTGCCATATATAGTGGTATATATAACTCGCTTGTTGAGCTAAACTAGGTGTCACCTAGTTGCCAATTCTACACACTATGCTCAGTTCGACGGATTTGAACTTTTGTAATTCTTGCCAAATATTTGCCAAAATGGGTCCTAACAATGTAGGTTTAGCACCCAGATATTCATGTAATAGTTTTATTTTTTATGGAATTGAGTTTTAAGTTGATGATACGAAATGTTAATAACCCAAATTGAAGGTCAATTTGATGTAATTCAATTTTGTCATGATGAAATTGAATTTTATCTTGGTGAATTAAATGTTTATTTGCGAAAATTAAAGGTAAAGTTGTTAATTTGGTAGAATTGAGTTTTAAATTGATGAAATTGATTGTTAATAGAATGAAATGGACTTTTAATTTGATAAAACTAGATGTTAAATTGATAAAATTGATTGTTAATAGAACAAAATGGACTTTTTATTTGATAAAAACTAGATGTTAAATTGATGAAATTGAATGATAATTAATATATATCTATACTACTAATAAAAGTCTCTTAACATGAAAAACTTTTGTTTTCCTATTCCACTCCTAATTAATCCTTTAATGTCAACTTTATCTTTTGATGCTAGAAACTTTTATCACACATTATCATTTTCTACTATACAATTAATGACATATTTAAAAGGCCATTATTATTTATCTTCATAAGACACCCTTTAAAAAAGAGGATCAACTTTTCAACTACTCCAATTATGGTTTTATAGTGAGGGATCAGGGAAGGCTATAACAGTTCATTTCACATCTCATCAAATGTGCATACTCACATGCACATACACATTTTCATATGAATATATTATGTGCATATGTATATATTGCATACAAAAGACATCTAATTGAAAAATCTTGGATTTTTCAGTTTTATTGTTGATTGATATTCTAAAGTCAATTTTATCCTGAACTAATAGCTACAATATATAATTTGAGGTTGGGGGTCCAACCATGGTAGTGGAAAGCTATGATACTAAAAAAACATTATCGATACCATAGTTGGTTTTAAGACCTAGTAATTTTGGGATGAATAGCGAGTGTGCATTAATTGAGTGTATCACTTGCAATAATTGGAGCGGTCTCCTATTTCTGTACTTAATAGTATACAATGAAAGTCATTAACATTTTTACTCTAAAAATTCTTACAATAAATAATCAATAATATTAGTAACTTATTACAACTTCAATCATTTCTTTTTCTCACGTTTGTCATAGTTTGTTTCTTGGAAAATAGTTTTTAGTTTTTAATTAAATTATATATGCTTTGTAATGCTAGCCCCATGGGATTCTAGAAGTCTTGGTATTGCTACAATAGGTACACAGTCTTGTTATAAAATTCATATTAGTTTTTTAATTGCTTTAAAAAGTCTGTCTTGCAAGACTTCTTTGTGTAGCAGTTGAACCAATCTTGGGTTTTCTTGATTGTTGGATGCCACAACCTTATTCTTCTATTAAACTTTATGTTTCGCCCGATTGAAGACTTGGAGCTCTTGATTTTGCTTTCCTGATTTATTTCTTGTGTGTGAGATATTTATTTTGATTTTTTTTTTTTAGATCCTACAAATATAATCCTCAATTTGTAAGATGGTTTAGGCAAAAACAAATTTGTCTAGGAAAATGTTCTACTTTTATACCGTCCCTTAGGGATATTGAGATCTCACCCAAAGCAGTTAGCTTCTTGATGTATTTTTTTGATCTCTGGAACTCCTGTTCTTTTTCGATTTTCATTTCTGATTCAATCAGTTCACATGAATGTACCTGTGGGCTACTATTTGTTGATCTAGGTAGTTAACCCGAACTTCTAAACATTGTACTGCTATTTGATTTTACAAGTGAAGAGGATCAATGTTGTTACTTGATCTAGGTCGTGATTGTTATAGCACCAGAGAGAATTTTTATGGTCTAAAGTCCTAGATACAAAGGTTCTAACCAAAACATATGGTGATTTCACTTGCAAGCATGGAGTATTCTTCAAGTTACTCATACAATAAAAAAACTATGACATATGTAAAAAAAAAAAAAGGTCATTGCTTATTGTTGAAGTATTTCTCAAGGAAAATGATAAAAAGACTTAAAAAATTGATTTAAAAATTTGACATGATGAATCATTACCATTGAATAGGTAATGAGTCTCAATAAATATTGAGACCCATAACTAAATTAATTATAAATATAACAGCCACATCATCCAGTCAATTTTTATAATCTATGTAGCATTGCTCATTTCTTAAATCTATTCCCCCATTTTTTCCTCTTGTTTGTTTGTCGTGAATGTCACTTCCCCCATTCAGTTACAACCATTTATCTCCAAATACTTACGAATTTATTTTGTTTAATCTTTGTAATGTTGTATATCAATACATTTGGTACACACCAGAATTCCTACAAGTTTGTGTCCTATGAAAGATATTTGTCTTTGGTCATAGGTTTCTATGACAAAGTATAGAAGGTTTAACAATTCTCCGTTTTGCTATGCTCTTTTAACGTTTTTAGTGGCATGAATGAGATAGTTTGTGCACAAGTACAAACTTTAAACATTTTGAAGTAAGACTTGAAGTTAAGCATGATTAACAAGGTGCATTTCCTTTGGCAACTAAGTTGCAGCATACTTATGTATATAGACTAGTAAACAAAGCTCCTTTAATCATGTCTTGTGATGTAACTTCATTGGCTTTTTTATCTCTTTTCTCATCTACAAATCTTAAAATGGTTTTGTTCCTTTTAAAATTTCATGTATAAAACTCATATTCTACTTAAAATGGTTCACATGCAACGCACGTGTGCATTAACTAGTAAACTTAAATGTCTATTTTGTGTTAATTTGATAAAATTGAATTTAGAATTGATGATTTTTAATTTTAATTTTAATTTGATGAAATTATAGGTCAATTTAATGTTAATTTGATGATTATATGTTAATTAGATGTGACTAATCTATATCTATTGTAAACTCTCATGTTCTTATCTTTATATAATAACGTAATTATTTTGAAATGCTCATATATGTAATGATATAAACATGAATTATATAGATTTTAAAAGTATAAATTAAAATTTATAACGAGTTAATAAAGTGTGTAGCAGAAGTTATGAAGTATTCTGGAGTTTAAGCACATTTTAGATAAAATTTGGGTAGGAAAGAATTTGATACTGTCTTAATATTTGGATCATAACTTTTGAACCTGATGTTCGGTTGATCTAAAATTTTTTACAGTAGACACTAGACTTCCAAGACTACAAAAAAGTATTTCATGAAAATTTTTCAAATCGACCTCTAAATAAGTCAAAACTTCATTGGAAGTTTAGCTAAAAATGAGAGTCCGTTCGAACATGAATGGATCCATTCGAATGACAATTAGTCCTAGTACTTTTGTTTCTGACAGAACTCTGATGGAAAATCAAAAGTATTGGGAGCAAGCAACGTTTGAATGCCAAAATGACATTCAAACGTGAGGTCGCGATTCTGAGTATTAACCCTAGAGAGTCTTGGAGAGCAAGAAAGAAGAAGAAAAACACAAGATTAAGGGGAACTTTTACATTAGAACGGATCAAACACGTTAGGTTTTCACACAAAACTACGGAATCAAGGTTGGGGATTCTTCCTAAGTTCTTTCATTGAGACTTAGGGTGTAGTTATTTATGTTTTTAATCTTCTTGATAATTATATGATATATATGAGTTCTTCATTTCTTTGTCATTGAAATATAGTCTTGAACAAAATATATGTTTGCGCTCAAGGAATACTTGTTCTTGAATTTTCAAAACTTTAGTTTTTCCAAAATACATGTTCTATTGTGAAATTCATATGGATTCTTGATTTTTAAATTCCTATTCTTGATTAAATCATATTTTAGATTTGGTAGTGCTGGACATGCAGAGATATAATGTGATCTTTGGAATGGACTTGTTGTCAGCATACCATGCGGTGATAAATTGCTTCCGAAAAAGGGTAGTGTTTCAATCACTGGGGGGAGTAGTATTCAACTTCACAAATGAGCGGAATACTTTCCACCCTTTTTCCATGACGGGTAAACAGTTCTTACAGGATAAGGCAGAAAGTAGTCTAAGCTTTCTTGCTAGCTTAATGGGAGAGAAACGAGTAGACTCCTCGCAAGAGTTGATAAATGTGGTGTCAGACTTTTCAGATGTATTTTCGGATGAGTTGTCTAGCTTACCACCTCGAAGAGAGATCGAGTTCACCATTGACTTGTATCCCGAAACAGAACCCATTTCTATTGCACCTTATCAGATGGCACCTTTGGAGTTAAAGGAGTTAAGGAAGCAATTAGACCAATTATTAGCAATTGAGTTTGTTCGTTTAAGCACTTCATCTTGGGGAACTCTAGTCCTATTTGTGAAGAAACATGATGAAACACTTCGATTATGCACGGACTACCAGAAGTTGAACCGAGTGACAGTGAAAAATAAATACCCATTACCTCGGATTGATAATTTATTTGATCAGCTGAGGGGTTCTAAGTATTACTCCAAGATTGATCTTCGTACAAGATACTATTAATTGAGGATCAAGGAAGAGGATATTCTTAAAACAGCTTTTCGTACCAGGTATGGCCATTTCGAATATACTTTAATGTCGTTTGAATTGACTAATGCCCTCGCAGCCTTTATAGATTTGATGCACAGAGTATTCCGACCATATCTAGATCAGTTTGTTATTGTGTTTATTGATGACATATTAATCTATTCGCAGACACAAGGGGAACATGAACACCATATTCGAGCAGTGCTATAGACCTTGAGAGATCATAAGTTATATTCTAAGATGAGTAAATGTGAGTTCTGGATGAAGGAAGTGAAATTTATTAGCCCTGTTGTGTTGGAACAGGGTGTAGTTGTTGACCCTGTAAAGATTGAAGTAGTGATGAAGTGGAAACTACCGAGGAATGTGACAAAAATACGTATTTTTCTGGGCTTAGCAGGCTACTACAGGATGTTTGCGGAAAGGTTCTCAAAGCTAGCTACAAAGAAGGAGAAAAGATTCTTGTGAACTCAAGAGTGTGAACTAGTCTTACACACATTGAAGGAAAGTTTGACAACAGCGTCTATCCTTATTATTTCGAACAATAGAGAAGGATATGATGTTTACACAAATGCTTCCTTACGATACTTGGGATATGTACTAATGCAGGGAGGTAAGGTAGTAGTTTATAGCTCAAGATAACTAAATATTCGTGAGTAGAACTATCACACTCACGACTTGGAGCTTACTACTGTGGTTTTTGCTATTAAGTTGTGGAAGTGTTTCTGATCATAAGAGCTTTAAATATATATTCACACAGAAAGACTTGAATCTTCAGCAAAGAAGGTGGATTGAATATCTGAAAGATTACGATTTCACACTCAACTATCATCCGGGAAAGGCTAATATGGTAGTAGATGCACTTAACAGAAAGTCTCGAGGTGCAATCAATGTTCTTGTTGTTAATAGGTGGAAGATGATTAATGTTTTGGAGGAATTTGATTTGTCGGTGGATAAACAAAAGGATCGACCAAGCTTATTTAATCTTGTAGCTCAACCAATTCTTTGACAAAAGATTGTAGAGTTCCAACGATTAGATGCAGATTTGGAAACTATCCGGGGTAGATTGTGAAAGGATGAGATTGTTGAGAACTGGTCTATACATAATGATGAGTTATAGTTTTGTGGAAAACTATGTGTACCAAACAATGGCCAAGTAACGGAGGAAGCATTAAAGGAGAGTCATTATGCAAAATTCTCCAAACATCCGGATAGTACTACAATGTATAAAGACATAAAGCGTTAATATTGGTGGAAAGTGATGAAACAAAACGTGGCTAAGTACGTTGCAAAGTGTGCAGTGTGCAGTGTGTCAATAGGTAAAGATTGAGCATCAAAGACCAGGAGGTTCTCTCCAATCCTTACTGATTCCTAGTACTTTTGTGTTTGAAAGAACTCTGATAAAAAATCAAAAGTACTAGGAGCAAGCAACGTTCGAACGCCAAAATGACGTTTGAACGTCAGGTAGAGAGGTTGAAGGTGAGGTCGCGATTCTAAGTATTAGATTTGCGCCGCTTGAACTGTTTTCTCATACTATAAATACCCAAGTATGTCTTCCCTAGCCCTATTTCATTAGTTCTAACCCTAGAGAGTCTTGGAGAGCAAGAAAGAAGAAGAGAAACATGAGATTAGGGAGGATTTTCACGTTGAAACGGATCAAACACGCTAAGTTTTCACACAAAATTACAGAATCGAGATAGGAGATTCTTCTTGAGTTCTTTCATTGAGACTTAAAGTATAATTATATATGTTTCAATCTTCTTGATTATTATATAATAGATATATATAAGTTCTTGGTTTCTTTGTCATTGGAACATAGTCTTGAACAAAATATATGTTTAGGTTCAAGAAATACTTGTTCTTAAATTTTCAAAACCCTAGTTTTTTCAAAATACATGTTCTATTGTGAAATTCATATGGATTCTTGATTTCTAAATTCTTATTCTTGATTAAATCATGTTTTCATCTAATACTTGTTCTTGTTCTAACAAATTATGATTTTTGGCTAATCTCTAGAATTTTGATATCAAAATTGTGAATATTTTCTTGAGATGATCTCTTACATATTTTAATTCCTTACTACTGTAGTATATTGAAAATTTCAAAAATGTGATACTTCAGTTGTTAATGAAAATTCTGATTGATTAAGATTGTGGTTATTGAGAAAATTGTGATTTCATCTTTTGTATGGTTTGAGTGTGATGGACTTGAATTGCCTTCGAGAGCTGCCATAGAGTATTAAAGGTTAGCCTGTCCCAGTAGGGGTGAGATAGTTACTTAACACTTATATTTGATTGTTGTTTATGAGAGTAACCACTATTGTTCACGTAAGTTCGAAGCTGAAAGATAGTATACCTTTTATAGGAAAGATTCGTCAATGTTGTGGGAGACAATATTCGCCCTTCCTAAGGTAGTTTGTAATGTACGCTGTGTGGAATGATTGAGATTATGTGATTGTGATGGGTGAACGGGATAAAATTGTTGTATAAATTTCTGAGAAGCAACTAACATACGTGAAAATGAGGATGAACCAACATACATGAGAATGGGGATGAACCAACATATAAGAGAATGAGAATGAACCAACATATATGAGAATATGAGATAATACTACTGAGTTATTAATTGATTGCTTTAATTCAAACATGTTTAATCATTTCATTGATTTATTGTATTCCGTACACTTGAGATCATTACAACTGTCATGATTTTTTTATTGTATTAAAAACCTTCATGGGATTTGAGAGGAATTTCCTACAAGCTTTTGCTCACCCCTACAACACATTTATAGATTTTGACAAAGAGGAGGATGTCGAATTAGATGAGCAGGTCGACTTAAAAAATGGAGAGGGTCAGTATGAGGATACTGAAGTGGAGGTTTAGAGATGTTTTATCTTAGTTTAGATTATTTTATTTAAGAGATTTCTATGAAACAATATTTCAGTTAGTTTTGATTATTCCGCTGCTAGATACTATTTTGTTTGAATTGTAAGTTGGAGAGGTTTTAATGTTTTATTGGCTTTAACATTTATTATTTATTAGATGGATGAATGATTGGTTGCTCTCATAGTTATTTTTAATTGTTCTCATAATTAGATAGTTTGTAGATAGTAATGTCTTCCAAAGAGAATTTTGGGATGTTACATTTATAATATAAAACATGATAGGTTTTAATAAACTCATCCAACTACCACCAACAACCCTCTCAAAATTATTCATATTATCATGTCTTGAGGTACGGATTATCTCTAATCACAAATGTTTGTGATTAAGTGCCAATGCTACAACAGCCATTCCAACAGTGAGGATCCTTAAGCTTATGAGTAGTCGGGGGCTGAACCTACAATGTTGAGACCTATTTTGGCAAATATTTGGCTCCACAAAACTGGCATAGTGTGTAGAACTGGCAACCGGATGGCACTTAATTTAGCTCCACAGGCTAGTTATATATAACACTCTATATATAGTAAGAGCAAGCACCCGAATTTGAAATGCCACTCCTAATTTCAGATATTTGAGTTTGAGTAAAACACTACCTTTTCTATTGAAAAAAGGAGAAGTGATTTGCACATCTCGATAGTAAATGTAATCTAACTAGGCGATACAATCTCGTTATAATTGACCAACTTATGCATTGTATATGACTTTTTTAGTGATTTTTTATGTGTAGATGGTGGTAAAGTGGGAATGGCCTTCTAGATGAGAATCATGATTATCGACAGTGCAACCAAAATCATTAAGTGGGACTCATTTTGTTAGTGTCTTCGAAAAGAAAACAGAGCATTTTGTAACATTTATTTTCTTGCCAAGCAAAATTAGTGATATAAAAACTGATAATAATCTGAGACAGAAAGAAAATGGGATCGACGCTTACAAATTTTCTTAACAAAAATCATGCTCGTATAGAGAATAGATAATGGGTAATCTCTCTAAAATGGTCATATTTTCAATCAAGACGCTTACTCAACATAACAATTGAACTAATTCTACCCATAAAATTGGTAACAGAATAGCTGTCACTAGTTCAGTAGTTCAAACCCATCCCAATAATCTTTGGCTTTTGGGTTCAATACATTGATGAAAATATATGTTCCAATCAAGTTGTGTAGAAGCGGATTACTCTTGCCTCTATTTAGCCACGTCTCACTGGAGATAACAGAAGAATGTAATATAATCAAGAATGTGTGCTTGTATTGACCAAATGAGTGAGCTGATTTGGTCCTAAACTTCTTTATCACAGAGGGTAAAAAGAAAACCACCGATCGATCATGGCTAGAGATTCTCTCGGTTTGTACTCTGGAACTGTGTGACCCGCTCCCTATACAAAGTATGAGAACATAGTTAACTTCGGTTATCATCAGCGTTGGAAATGAATAGAATCGAACCTAACTGAGCACTAGATTAATGTTGCTCGGGATCGTGATAAAGCTTTTGAACATTTGTTTAAGCTTAATCTTTAATATTTTCAAATCTCAGCCTTGGCTTGGCTCATTTTGATTAAATGAACTACACTCGAGTTTGCCCTCGAGCTCAAAGTTGAGTCTAAACTTGTATTAAAGATCAAGTTTGGCTCGTTTATATATTTATCAATAGATATATTATGTAGACAGTATATATTTATACATGATACATTACAAATAACTAGGTATAAATTACCTCAATTTGTTCTGGTGTCTCTTACAAGATATTGATTAAAGGTACTCTAAAATTGGGCTCGAAATCATTTTGTTAGATAGATGATCAAACATGAACCAGCTCTCATACGAACCGATTCCGAACCCTCTTTTTCATTTTAAAATCCATTAGTATAGATAAGAATTAAGAGAGAGATTCATACCTTTGCTGTTGCATATGTCAATGTGTAGTCATTGCGGGAATAAGACATTGTATATCTGCATTAAAAAAACTTACAATTTTACTTTCTGAAAAGAAACTCTGCACAATGACAACTTAAAGCAACTTAAGATCGATATGTTACAGAGATGTTTAGAAACTTACCCAGCTATTTGGCCATCAACAAACCATGGTTCCCAATCACTTTCAAGATCCAAATTAAGAGACTCTATCCATTTCTCAGTGCTCAAGTGTGGAACCCTCATGTCAAGATCACCACTGTTGGAAGAGAAAGAGTTTTGTTGTAAGAGTAAGTTCTATTTTTTGGTTTGCTTGTTTTAAAAATTCTTAGACAAATACTTATGTTACTCCCTCTCTAACAACTTCAATTTTTAACATAATTGGTGTTTAACATGGTATCAGAGGCTAAAGCCTAGACTACAAGTCACACCAGGTCATCTCCCTAACTACTCAAAATGAAAAACAATCAGAGGATATCGTCACAAGTATGATATTAGCACCCTTGTGCCACTAAAATACCTAATTTTTATAGGACTTTCGTCCTTTAGGGCTCAGATTCGTTCTACCAATTACATCTACTAGACATAGAATGAGATGAAAAAGTTTCGAATTTCGGCAATCGATTACTAGTATTCAAAATCGGCATCAATGTAAAATAAAAACAAAGCAACCGTATCCAAATCCGAGACCTTGCTTCGATCTTCTCTAGCCACTTAACAAATTTTACATCTCTTCCCATAGAAATATTTTAACATCTTGAACCTACATTTTATAGTATTATCTTCTTTGGGCTAGGCCAATATCACTTTGAAACATGATGTTGAATGCTCAAAGTTACAATGTTACACAAATAAAGCCGATTTTAGGATGCTACTACCTGAATATTAAAGCTCGACAATTTTTGTGTGTGAGATTTCGATGATAGTCAACAACACTAGGGACGTTGAATGTGTAAGCGACGGTTGCACTTAGACCAAATGCGTATTCGATACTCGTATTGCATTGAATCCACTCTGGTTTTATCCCCTGCTAGTCATAATAAATCAGGTGATGAAACTATGAAAATGTTATATTCAATATTTATGCTCGTAAGATTAATGTACCTCACGGACGTTGAGAGCTTTTTGGACATCTCTTTCATTAGCCCACTTGGTGGCATAAACGTAGTTGAAGCCCTACAAAACATTAAAAAGATGAACATCTTAAATTTATAGCTTTGTCATCAAAACATAAGCAAACTGTATGTGTAAGACCGGATTTTGATCTTCTCCGATGTACTTTTGGCCAAGTTTTTTGACGCTCGATCATTGAGAATGAATTTAAATTGGATTTCCTATTTAAAAGTGTGTTTCCACTAAAACGCGGCAAGTGGCCTTTACTAAAAATAATTTGAGAAATATATATTGGAAAAGATCTGCATATGTAAGAGGAGGAGATTACCCGACACCATGATCCTGGAACTTGATGTAGTGGCCAGAGGAGATCAATGGAATTTTCTTCAACAGAGCTTCTATCCCATCTCAACAAATTAGAATTTACGTTCAATGTAGAACATAACGGTTCCAAAATTTGTGGCAAATTTATTTTCTCGAGGCACTGTAAACCAAATGGTAGATATTTTTAATGCCTAAAATAAATTGAATAGGGCAACATGTGTTATCAAAGCAAAGGTAGGAATTCTGCTCACCTCGTTTACTAATTGCATATTGCTTGAACATAATCCATTGTTTGGGTCCACATCTATGTATTTGCCATTGCAATTTGCCTTGGTTGACTAAAAAATTCATAGAATACTACATATTTCAAAATCTTATCTTTGAACAAAAAGCTTACTTGAGGTTAATTATAATAATTAATGATACAATACTACAATTGTAAATAACTTCTACAAATATAATAAGCACCCTAAACGGTTTTTGAAATAAATTGTCACATGTGATGACTTGGTCAATGCAGATTTGGCTCTAGTGTGCACGCATATTCTTGAGGAAGCTTAGAGAACTCCATTAATCTCAAAACTTACAACTCAAACATGTGAAGTCACCTTGTAGAGATTATCAGAAAGAAGTGCCACGCGATGGGCATATTTGATTCTTGAATTAACATCTCTATTTTTATCTGTTAGAGGATTGCCAAGCATGTATCCCTGCATGTAATACAGAGATTCAAATTTGATACTATTTACCGTATACCAAAACAAGCACACAATAAATAGGTCTTCCTAGAATGTCAATAGGATCCTTACCTTAATATTCATTTGCGGCTCATTTCCGGCTTCATTTCCTATACAAGGAAAAAAAAAGGATGAAAAAATAAGTATTGAAAATCTCAAATTTAAAAGCAAAAACTTGCTCAACAAAACACTGTTTAGTTTGCAAAAGCTCAGTCATTAAATTTTGGGCTTATCTTCAAAGTATGCACTTGTTTTCTATTTAGTTTTTAAAGTTTCAATTGCACTAATTAAATTCTTCAAATTTTAACCACGTTTACATTCAATTTTTAGTAATACTACCTTTTTTTTTGGGTTAAACGGTCAGAGTATCTGGGCTAACTTATGCACATCTTAANAGAAAGAAGTGCCACGCGATGGGCATATTTGATTCTTGAATTAACATCTCTATTTTTATCTGTTAGAGGATTGCCAAGCATGTATCCCTGCATGTAATACAGAGATTCAAATTTGATACTATTTACCGTATACCAAAACAAGCACACAATAAATAGGTCTTCCTAGAATGTCAATAGGATCCTTACCTTAATATTCATTTGCGGCTCATTTCCGGCTTCATTTCCTATACAAGGAAAAAAAAAGGATGAAAAAATAAGTAATGAAAATCTCAAATTTAAAAGCAAAAACTTGCTCAACAAAACACTGTTTAGTTTGCAAAAGCTCAGTCATTAAATTTTGGGCTTATCTTCAAAGTATGCACTTGTTTTCTATTTAGTTTTTAAAGTTTCAATTGCACTAATTAAATTCTTCAAATTTTAACCAAGTTTACATTCAATTTTTAGTAATACTACCTTTTTTTTTGGGTTAAACGGTCAGAGTATCTGGGCTAACTTATGCACATCTTGACTAATCCCCTCCCTGGTTCATTCAAAGGCAGACTATCCATGCCGAGACTAGAGTATTTATGACAGGGATAAATCTTATATGGCCTGACCTTAATAAATTGTCAATATTCAAATTCAGGACGTCTAAACTTACAACTCATCTCCGTTGCTACTTGAGCTAACTCTTGAAGGTTCTTAATAATACTATTGGAACCTAAAAAATTGACGTAATTTGTTGACTAATGATGTGTCAAGTAATAGTCTCAATGAAACAGTCCAATAATTAAGGTCATAACAATATTATTAAACCATGTCATTCCTACATCATTAGGTCAGTAAATTAGGATAATTTTTTAGGTTCCAATGACAATACTCTTCAATTCTTCCATCCAGATATATCCATTTGTCAAGGACCTTACATAACTTGACCATAAGGGTATGTTTATGTAGCAAAGAATATTTCTCTTAGATATGTCGTCTTTTTTCTCTATTTCATAATATCTCTCAAATGTTCAGTATCTTTCTTCATTTGTCTTTATTTTCTTTATCTCAGAATCAAATGAAATAAAGTAAATTTTTTCCCTCCAATGCGAGAAAAGTTTTTTCTTAAACCAATATATCCCAAGTCACATTTTTTGTCACAAATGACCCTTTCGCTAGATTAAATTAATGAATTTGGATATAAAAACTAAATTGAAACTCGATCAAAAATTGAAGGACCAAATAAAACTAGATAAATATTTTTAGGGTAAAAAAATTATATGCTCGTAAAATAAAGGGGTGTCCATGACAATAAATACCGTTGTATATCTCCTGAACAATGATTGGAACAACCATGCCAATGTAGGAAACACCACAAATGTATAGTGGATTGTTTAGATACTTGGGGTGATCCACAAACCACTGCATCGCCATGCAATAAATAAACAAAAAAAAACATTTTTATTAGTTCGATTTCGTAAAGTACTCAATATAAGACATGTATGTGTCAAAATGTTTTTAGATAATACATCACTACACAATCAAATATAATATATAATACATCATTTTTGTTAGACTTGCAATCTTTGAATGAATTTCTCTCACCTTTCTAAGAAATTCATATGTCTGTGTTGCTGAAATTGTGTCGCTGCTGATGTAAGATTCTGAAGTATTTGCATAAGAGAATCCAGTTCCAACCGGCTGATCTATGTAAATGATGTTGGCAACCTACAAAGTTATAAAAAATTTTCATTACTCGGTAAATTAGAGTTTTTTAGTCTACGATGTAGGCAGTTCTTCCATAATTTAAAAATCATACTGAGCTACATGATCTTTGGACTTGCAGCTACGACGGAAACTCGAGAAGCACATATTTACTCTAACAAAGCTGCAGGGTAAAGTATTAGACCTTTGTCCAGGAATATGGGTTCAACTCCAATGTTGGTGTCTTTCCAATGGACTCTTCATAGTTAAATTTAAATGGCCCTGCAAAGAAAAGAGGAAAAAAAAAATCAAGCAATTTCTAATGAGGAAGATAGGGTCTGCTTTCTAGGTCTTATAAATTCAATTGAAAATTGACTATATTTTTGAATAGTTGTAACTAGATGTGATAATTTTAATCCATTGTGGATTAACCTGTTTAACTAGTCCATAAATAAATTAGTTAGGTACCTATATTAATTAATGTAAGTTTTAAATGGGTTGGGTAATAGCTCATTTTAATTAAGCGAATTAAGATGAATTACAATTAGGTACCTATTGGATTGAATATTTATCTAGCTATTTTCCACAAACCCGAACCCAAGACCAACCCAGACCCTAAACCCGACCACGACCCCTACCTAGGTTGGTGTATTAGTATTATTGTGTGTGTGTGTGTGTGTGTGTTTTAGTGTATTAGTGTGTGCATGTTTTGGTGTATTACNGACCACGACCCCTACCTAGGTTGGTGTATTAGTATTATTGTGTGTGTGTGTGTGTGTTTTAGTGTATTAGTGTGTGCATGTTTTGGTGTATTAGTGTGTGTATTTTTTGTGTATTAACATATGTTTTATTTGATATATTAGTATATGTTTATATTTAAAGTTTTAATTATTTTACATGTTAATAGTTTTAACACAACTTGTTATGATCTAACCCATTATAATCCGTTTATTAAACAATTTGAAAATACAATAGATTTTTTTTACACCCAACTCAATTTGAATCGGCCCACAACCAACATAACTCGCCCATTAGCCAACTCTAGTTGTGACAAAGCAAGTTATGCAAAAATTAAAAAAGAAACCCTATTTGCCTATTTGTTTTCATGATTTGCCAATAATTATCTCACGTGCCACTCTGGTAATTAGAGGACTACAATGCATTAGTGTTCACATTAAGTTCTTAAATTAGATCGTGCGAATATAGGTAAATATTAACGTATATTTCTTTTGAATAACTTAAAGACATTGATATGTTGAGAGAGAGTCACATTCAGTAATGACAGAGAGACTCTCATCGCAGCAGCTTTTGTTTATAAATGCTTCATTTGATACAATGAAAAAATAGAAGAAAAAAAATTGGAAGGATATAAAGTTGCAGGATAGATAAAATGAAGGAAAATGGAAAAGATGAAAAAGTTGATGAATTAATTTTCCTTCCAGTTCATCGAAATCAACATCTCTAAAATTCAAAGAAAAATGGATGGAAAGTTAACTGTGTTAAAATTTATGTTATTTGTCTACTAATTATTTTTTGTGCCTAAAGATACGAAGTAATAAAAAAAATGGTCAATAATAAACATATTTGTATTCACAATGAAGATCAAATGACAAAGATAAAAGAGGGAAAAAGGAATTTAAGCACCGATTATAGTAGGAGCAAGCGGTGGTAATGGTCGTGGAAGACGATGATGGGTGACAACGACTGGTTGTGATGGTAGCAACCTTGAGGGGCAATGATAATGGTGGTGGTGGGGCCGGTGGTGGTAAGAGTGATGATGAGACAGTAAATTTGGTAATAAGGTGGCGCCAGTGGTGGTGGACGTAGTGGTAGGAGGGATGGTGGTTGTGGGGCAATGGGGGTGGTGGTGGGGCAGTAGCAAAAGTGATAGTGATGGTGATGGTGGGGTGATGGGGGTGGTGGTGGTGGTTGTGGGGTAGCCACAACGATGGTTGGGGGGTGGCGACAGTGGTAATGGTGATGGGGTGACGATAGTGGTGGTGGTTGATTGCTTTCAAACACTACTTTTTATTAAAAAAAAAAAATACTTATGAGAAATTTTAAGTTCTAGAAATATTTTTAAAAAGTCACTTCAAACACACTCTTAGGAGCTTATTTTTTCTATTAAATTTAGGGTGTTAATCTTAAGCGGTAGATTAACTTTAAAATAAAATTTAAAGCGATCTTAATTGCGAATAACAAAACTCATTTTATTTTTCTTTTGAGATTTGAATTATACTGTACTTTATTGTACAAATATATCGTNCGCGAATAACAAAACTCATTTTATTTTTCTTTTGAGATTTGAATTATACTGTACTTTATTATACAAATATATCGTTTAATAAAAATAAAAAATTTAAAAAAATAAAAATATATTTTTTCCATCTTATCAAACACAAAAAAGTCAACCATTTATACTTTATATCTTTCTCATTACCAAACACAAAAGAGGGATATAATGATTCTTTCTTTGAATGATGGAAAGTGTATTACTTCTATTTTTTATCCTTTCATTTTTCTATCTATCCTACCAAATGAACCATAAATAAGATTTTTTTTTTTTGTTTTACTTTCTTTGGAACGTCGAAAATAAGAAGTTTTATAATATTTAAATTCCTTGTCTGTTTTTGCTTTTGTATTTCTTAATATTAATATAAAAGCAATGCTATCAGAACTTAATTTACTGACCTCATTTGTTGACCTAATTTACTATGACATTTGAATTGATTATGGACTCCATCAAACATTGAAACTTGATGTTGATTCAATAATTCAATTAAAGTCATATCATTATGTCAATAAATTTAATCAAATTTATAGGTTTAAATAAAATTACTTTTATTAGGGCCTCCACGTACGTCCTAATGCACCATCTAAAATGGTAAACCCATGGACCACTATGACTTAATCATCGTCCTAGCTTTGGGCAAATGATCTTAACGTTTTTGTGCTTTTTTGGGCCTCCACGTACGTTCTNCTTTGGGCAAATGATCTTAACGTTTTTGTGCTTTTTTGGGCCTCCACGTACGTTCTAATGGACCATCAAAACGGTAAACCCATGGACCACTGTGACCTAATCTCCGTCCAAACTTTGGGCACATGATAACGTTTTTTCTTTTTTTGGGCTTGCACGTACGTCCTAATGCACCGTCTAAAATGGCAAGNTCCGTCCAAACTTTGGGCACATGATAACGTTTTTTCTTTTTTTGGGCTTGCACGTACGTCCTAATGCACCGTCTAAAATGGCAAGCCCATGGACCACTGTGACCTAATCTCCGTACTAACTTTGGGCAAATGATGTTAAACATTTTTTCACAATTCAACTAATCTCTTTCCCCATTCAATCAATCAAAAACAGCTCGCGCGCGTCTTTCAACACTATAAGAGATGAGATGATACTAATTGATTTGCTAGTCGATCTGATTGTTGACAAACTCGGTATGAAATAAGTACAAACATAAACAAAAAAAAANCGCGTCTTTCAACACTATAAGAGATGAGATGATACTAATTGATTTGCTAGTCGATCTAATTGTTGACAAACTCGGTATGAAATAAGTACAAACATAAACAAAAAAAAAAAAAAATATATATATATATATATAGACTTAAATGATCTTACTGCCCTAGTTTTTAAACTTTCTGTCAAGTAGTGAAGCCAAAATTTGTAGGTGGTGGGACCGTTGTTGCACAAATTTAACCGCTAATAATTTTTATTTGTAATTGCAAAATATTTTTATTTTATCCCAATGATTTAAAGGATTGTTCGGTAACATTTTTGTTTTTACATCTTAAAAAAATTAAAAACAGAGATTATTTCAGTCTTTGTTTTGTGATAAATACTAAAATAAAAAATATGTTTAAAAATTTTTTATCTATCAAATTATGAGAATAAAAACAAAAAAATATGTTTGATAATTTTTATCCTAAATATATTTGGTATCCTAACTATTTCAAATTCCCCGATAAGTGATGGGAATCAAAGATTAGCTCATTGCTTTACTTCCCAGTGGCAACCTGGTCTTCTTCCTCACAGTGGAGGTCATGGTCCCACACCTAACACCACTACTATACCCTATATGCCAACGCCATCAAGCCCACCTAAAGTTTATATCCAGGCATAACAGTACCCAAACCATCACGTGAGGAGGAAAAAGTTCCACCTTCATTTCCCAAATCTACTTTGGAGGTATTAACACCAGATGCACGAAATTCAAAAGTCAAATTTGAAGCAATCCTATCCGCATGCTTTTCATTCAAAGATGGCTTGAAGACAATTACCTCATCCTCTTCTTCACCTTCTATGTACAAATCTGTGTACATATTTATATATACACAGTTTCTGGGTTTCACAGAGCAGAGAGAGAGAGGCAACGATGGAAGGAGAGAGGCAGCGATGGAGGTTTCTTCTGGTCGTTTGATACAGAGGAGGGAGAGAGAAGCGATGGGAGGAGAGAGGGATGAAATGGGGTTTATACTTCAACCAAAAAAAAAAAAAAGCCTTGTTTTGCTAGAGTCGAATTCCGAATTTTATTAATCCTTAAGCCTTTTGCACGTGATGTCTTTGTTTTTAATGGTTTTTGGAACATTTTTTTGAGTTTGTTTTCAAATTACTAGTATAAAACAAAAATAAAAAAAATACTCAAACATATTTTTATTTTTGACAAAATTAAAAAAAAAAAAAAATGCCACAAAACAACAGTTACCGATTAATGTACCTGTGATTTTGTCTCCTTCCTATTTTGAATACAATTTTCAAATAAACAGATATTAATTGCTTAGAGTTCATGGCAGACAGTATAACCGTGTATATACCACATGCTTACAGTTCAGTTTTTTCGGTGAGTTTAAGAATATCAAACGTACCGATTTCGTAGAAGAAGGCACGAAGAGCAGAACAACCAGGGCCGCCGGCGAGCCAAAGTATGAGAGGATCATCTTTTGGACTCCTTTCAGATTCGACGAAGTAGTAGAATAACTGCACGTCGTCCTTTTCTCCTACACCAACGTAACTTCACCCCCAAATGATCGTAAATTTGTAATCCTTCCTTTACTTATTCATTAAAAAAAAAGTAATCGCGTGCAATGAAATTGAATTCGAACAAAGAAGAAAATGTATAGGCTTACCCAGTTTCGAGTTGAAACGGGAGGTCATTGGAATAGCCAGGGAGAGTCTTGACGATGGACCGCGACACAATTACGTCGGAAAGGAGCAACAGAAGAATGACTCGGAAGAGCTTTGGTGGTGCCATGAAGAGAGAGGGACCTTCCCCAAGACTGTTGGTTTGTGAAATCAACAAAGGTAGTCTTGAATGATGTCCCTAGGCGTTGCTTCCTTCCACTTCTTTTAAGGATGAGGTTTCGGCCCCGCCACAGAGCAGCACGAACCCGGCTGGATCTTGGGTTATTTTAGATTTTTCTGTATTTTCAAAAAGGGTTTGTACCAACAAAAACAGAGACCGGAAAAGGAAGGCACATTGACGTTGTCTGTGTGAAGGCTTCTCAGTACTAGAATTCTCATTAACAGAGAAGACTGGGAAAAAAATTCTGTACCTTACCATCTTTTATAAATTATAAGTAATTAATAATATTTTAGGTTTATTTATTAATTTTGAATGTCATTTATAAATATTAATTAGATGTCATTTGTAATTTTTGGGTTACTTAAAGTTGTTCGGATGATCCCAAGTACCCACAAAAATTGTAAATTATTTTTAAAAAATTATAACTTATACCACATAAAAATTGTAATATGACTCAAAAATCCACAATTTTTTTTTTATTGTGAACAAACCCAAAAAAAACTAATTTCAATGCACAACTCATAAAAGTTGGTACCACACTTAAACTTTAGTCTTCTCCCTCGTTGAATGGTTGGTAAAATGCCTGGGTGTACATACTTTCTCTGCTAGTACTGTTCTTACCTGTTNAACTTTAGTCTTCTCCCTCGTTGAATGGTTGGTAAAATGCCTGGGTGTACATACTTTGTCAGCCAGTACTGTTCTTACCTGTCGGAAATTTAAACTCAAACATTGAGTAACAAAAAAAGAATTCTTACATGGTGTCCAGCGTTAGTCCGGGCATGAAAGGTTGGGATAGCTGGAATTTCAAAAAAAAAAAAAAAAAACCCTCGGTTGTAAGCTAGCTAGATGATTCATTAAATGGAGTTGACACGATTTGAGTTAGTTGAGTTGATTATTGTATTATATTTACACTTTTCATATTTGTGATTATTTTTATAATATTTATAGATATTTTATCATTGTTATAATATCCTAAAAAATAATAAAAATAATTATCATAACAATAATAAAAATATTTACAAATGTGATAAAAAAAAAATACTAACAAATATACTAGAAACACCTTTAAATATGATAAATTTTTTTGTACCAAAAAATAATAGTAAAAATAATTACCACAAATATAGTAAAAACACACGAAACAGTGGTAAAAGTGATAAATTTTTTTATTGTACAATAACCCATAAAATTTGTCAAAATATATGTTAAAATGGTAAAAATTAGAGATACGGTACCACAATTAATTAGAGTCAAGTCCCAATGGCTAAGGCAAGAGGTACAAGTCAACTCAGTATAGTTTAATTTAATTACAACTACTTAGGTCGGTTACATAAATCTTTCTTTTTTTAATATGTACTATTAAGGATCATGTTTTTTTTAAAAAAAATNTACTAGAAACACCTTTAAATATGATAAATTTTTTTGTACCAAAAAATAATAGTAAAAATAATTATCACAAATATAGTAAAAACACACGAAACAGTGGTAAAGGTGATAAATTTTCCATTAAACTATCACATCTATTTATATTATTTTAAGATTATTTTAAATCTAGCTATATCTCTACCTTTTAAATTATCATCGTTATATATAAGGGAATTCTCATTGAAGGGTCGGTGAGATATCAGCAAACGCAGAGAAGTAGAATTCTCATTGAAGGGTAGGTGAAAGACACCATGGTGCACTTTCTCCCTTAGATTGATGGAAGTCAAATTAAAACCTACAAAGCTTGAGAGTGGCTGTCAGTTTTTACTTTTTTATTCAAGTGTAGTAGTCTGTTCANGTTATATATAAGGGAATTCTCATTGAAGGGTCGGTGAGATATCAGCAAACGCAGAGAGGTAGAATTCTCGTTGAAGGGTAGGTGAAAGACACCATGGTGCACTTTCTCCCTTAGATTGATGGAAGTCAAATTAAAACCTACAAAGCCTGAGAGTGGCTGTCTGTTTTTACTTTTTTATTCAAGTGTAGTAGTCTGTTCAAAAAAAAAAAAAAATCAGGACAAAGCCTAGCGTGTCAGGCCAATCAACAAATTGTGGCTGCAATTTGGAATGTGCACATAGGTCTAATCTTTTTCATAAAATACAAAGAAAGGCGCTTGCGTGCACTCACTATCGTTGAATTTTATTGATTCTTTCTCTTATTTCTTTTTTAAACACAATTTTTTTTTTCCGATAAATTAGAGATGCTCGAATCAATTGATACGTATTTCAATTAATTGATCTCCTCTCTAATTTAATCAAAAATAAATTATCTACGTTAAAACTAATGTATTTATAAAGATTAAATTTCTTGAAACCTTACCTAACCTAAAAATTTTCTAAAATTAACGTTTATGCTTATAACCGGTAAAGTAAAAGAAACGGCAGTTGCCCAGATAATTTGACTGATTATGATGATAGCCATTTCTGTTCTGTGAAGTCATAGTAGTTGCTCTGAAACATGTGTTTCCACCTACTACTTCTCCCCCACGTGGTTGGCTGAGCNGAAGTCATAGTAGTTGCTCTGAAACATGTGTTTCCACCTACTACTTCTCCCCCACGTGGTTGGCTGAGCAGTGAGTAGGTGTTCTTCATCGTTAAAGTCACAAGATTTCTTTTTTGACAACCCAACGATACAAGTGGATTACAGCTTTGCTTTTTTCTGCACGAGGAAACAAATATAATTCCTCGTGTCGTAAAAAGTCGTTCCTCCGTATACACACTTGTAAAATTTATATAATAAAATTGTGCGTGCAAGATCCTGCACAATATAAAAAATATTGGAAACAGTTCTCTCCCCTGGTGAACTTTGAGTGAGCCGGTTGAGTGGCCAAACACACTGCTTGAAACAGCCTACAAGGAACGGTGGCAACCTGGAACGGCTAAGGAAGATCCNGGAACAGCTCTCTCCCCTGGTGAACTTTGAGTGAGCCGGTTGAGTGGCCAAACACACTGCTTGAAACAGCCTACAAGGAACGGTGGCAACCTGGAACGGCTAAGGAAGATCCTGGGAAAGGAAGAACGACCCAGTACGTGTGAAAGGTATTCCCTGGAACAAAGGAGAACAAGTTAGAAGGGCGCCGGNTTGCTCTGAAACATGTGTTTCCACCTACTACTTCTCCCCCACGTGGTTGGCTGAGCTCGAATTCAAACAACCACCACCGAAAAAAAAGTTATTGGTTCTTTTTCTTGTTTTTTAGAATAACTTAATTTTTTTACCAACCATGCGTATATCCCTCCCCTCTCTCTCTCTCTCTCTCTCTCTCTCTCTCTCTCTCTCTCTCTCTCTCTCTCTCTCTCTCTCTCTCTCTTTCTTTAAGAAATACTATGTAATTTAAATTTGTATCTCAAATAAACAAAGACCATTTGATGAATGAGTTTTATCAACTTTTTTAATTGGTAACCACTGANAAGAAATACTATGTAATTTAAATTTGTATCTCAAATAAACAAAGACCATTTGATGAATGAGTTTTATCAACTTTTTTAATTGGTAACCACTGATCTAATAGTCTTTATTGATTTGAGATGTCATTTGAAACTCCAAATTTGGATTGCATAACATTGTTCCTTAATTTATCTTAGTTCCACACATAATTTCTAAATAGANGCAACATTGTTCTAGAAACCCCGAGGACACGTGTCTTCATCATAGGCTTTTCAGAAAAGTCCCATCAAAAATATAATTTAATTTAAATTTTAAAAGATAAATAAAATAAATTTTTATTTTTCGCAGTTAAGATTGTTTTAAATTTTCCTTTAAAATTAATTTCACGACTACTATTAACACTCCAAATTTAATAGAGAAAATAAGGCTCTGAGGATGTGTTTATGAAGACTTTTTTAAAGTGCTTCTATAACTTCTAACTACTTATCAGTACTTTAAAAAAAATTGTGTTTGGAACTGCCGCATCGTCGCAGCCACCCCACCACCAACTCTACCACAACAANCTAACTACTTATCAGTACTTTAAAAAAAATTGTGTTTGGAACTGCCGCATCGTCGCAGCCACCCCACCACCAACTCTACCACAACAACAACAACCACCACCACCACCATTATCGTCGCCACCCTTACCACTGTCGCCACTACCACCCCCACCGCCACAATTATTGCCATCCACTATTGATTGTTATCATCGTCGTCTACCATTACTATCAGCATCTTATTCTTATATTTATTACCATTACCACCATCATCTAACTATTATTGTCGCCCACCTTTAGCACCCACCACCACCATTGTTGTCCCACCACCCACTACTACAATCCATCACCATCTTTCATCTCACACTATCGATGTCAATCGTTATCACCCACCCTCCCCCCCACCACACTTATCATCATCACCATCGCATTTACCACCATTCATCACACTATCTCTCAAAAATACTTGTCGTCGCCCACTACCACTATCGTCACCGTCCATCACCACAACCTACCATAGCCACCACCACCACTGTCAACCACTATCACCACAGTCACCCATGGTTGCCATTACAATCATCGTCACCTAAAATTTATCACTACCGTCATTATTGCCACCATGGCTGTCACCACCATCACGGTCGTTGCCACCCACCGCAACCAACACTGTCTTCGACCACCACCACTACAATTGGTGTTTAAATTCTATTTTTTCTTCTCTTTATTTGAAATTTAATTTTGACTTTGAATATAAATATTTTTATTATTAATTATTTATTATTATTATTATTTGTCTTTGACCACGAAAAATAACTATTATTCCAACATCTAATCATTTTGATCTGGTACCTAAGCAAGCAACTTGTAATGTTAAATATGCAACCATTGGGTTTTCGAATCTAATGATTTCATTTGCTTGTCTATGTGGTAACGCTGTTCTCAAGGTAGAATCTTATTTTAGAAGAACCCATATTCTCAAAGGAGCACTCATCATAGTAGCTTCTAGTGGGTGGTTCCTGTCATATATAATTTATCTTTAAT